CATTTTTTGTTCAGATAGAGTGGGAGGGAGAGAGAGAGAGAGAAACATCGACGTGGAAGGTACACATCGAGTGGCTGCCACCCGCACAACCAACCAGGGCCGGGGACAAACTGCAACCAAGGTACATGCCCTTAGCGGGAACCGAACCCGGGTCTCTCTGGACCGCAGGCCAGTGCTCTAACCGCTGAGCCAAACCTGCCAGGGCTGGTCCTTTGTCTTGAGGGTTTTACCTGTAGGTGGGAATTTTAGGGCAGGTCTCAATCAGAATATTCAGCTTTTCAGGTGTGTCTTTCAACATGCTGATGCATCAAAATGAGTATAGAGAGGAGTTTGGGATCATTCTCCTGTCAGCTTCACCTCGGGTCTGTCTGGCTCTAATCCGGATTTTTGTTATTTATTCCGTCTTCATCCACGCTTAGGTGTGGCTGGCACTGAAGGCACCAGCTGGGTCTGTTACCGGTCCCCTGACCAGGGTGATTTAAGATATGCACCGTCTGGTCGAGGAGGAGAGGTGTGAACCGTCTGCCCTTGAGTGTCCTTGGTTGGGGAGGATGGGGTCTTGTGATTTATCAGCTGATTGTGCCGCTGTGTGTCTAACCATCTTGTCTCTATTTCCCTCGTTCCCATTGTCGAGGAATTTTCCTACCTTTTTTATTAACCTGTCTCACAAATAAATGGTACTTCTTTATTCTCACCATATCCCCTCTTCTATTTTGTTTGTTTTTGCCTCTCTGCTTTCCTCTGGATAGTTTCATCAACTCAGTAGTTCATCTTAGCTGTTTCTATTCTGCTCAGCCCTTGTTTAACCATTAGTTCTGGAATTTTGTCGTTTTCAGTACTATCATTTATTTATACCTTACTCTTTCTAAAGTATGCTATGTCACTTTTTGTAGTTTCTGGTTCCTTGCCCAAATTCTCCAGCTTTGCAAGTTCTCTCCTTGAACAAAAAAGGCATAGTTAAGAGTCTGTCTCGTTATCTAGAGCCCCTTCTCCACTTGTACTGCCTCACTTCATGCGCCTGGTTACCTTTGCTTGTACACTTGTACTTGAAAATTATTATAGAAGTAATTTGAAGCGTAAGGGATGGTCTTCCTCCAGGGAAGATTTGTGTTTGCATCACTAGGCTCCTTGGGACACTACAAGTCCTAGGTCATCTTTGTGCAGGTTCTAATTTTGAAGTCCTCTGAGCCACCCATGTCAGAGAGATGGTTAATTCCAGGTCACGCTAAAGTGGAGAGTGAACTGCCCGGGACCCCAATCTTGGCAGGCATGCCCTGGATTTGATTGTTGTGCTCCTAGCCTCGAAAGGCTTCGCCCAGCCTCTCAGGTTTCTCAGGACCCCACACTTCCCCAAAGCAGAAGCAGCCCTAGTGTTAGGCTCGTCTCTCTGGGTCCCCACACCCTCCTGGCTTCCAGCCCTGAGAGTTGCTCACTCTCTTGATGTCTCTGTTTGCCTCGCTGTTAGCAGTGTTCTTCAGCAGAGTGCCTGTGTTCTCTAGCCCATCCTTGCTGTGCATGGGAGTTCCTCCTACAGATATTAAATCGGACGTTATTTAAAGCCGTCTCTTATTCCTGCTTGAACAGGAATGCCTCCAGGGTATACCCTCATCAGGTAAGATGCTGCCTTCTGGGCTACGTGTATTTTATCATGCTCCAGTATTTGTTTTATTGACTGTATAAAAATGGGTTGAATTTGGTCAAATGCCTTCAGAGCATCTATGAAAATGATCTTTTATTTTTCCTTTGTGATTGTTAACATGACTTATGTTACTGAATTTCTTAATATTGAACCACCCATGCATTATTAAAATCAACCCACTAGATTGTGATGTCATATTTTTAATGTGCTATTGGGTTCTGTTTAGTAGTATTTTATTAAAGGCTTTGCATTAATGTTCATAAAAGAGGTTGGTATAAAGTCTTTATTTATTTATTATTATTTTTTATCCTCACCCGAGGACATTTCACCATTTTTTGTTCAGATAGAGTGGGAGGGAGAGAGGGAGAGGGAGAAACATTGACATGAAAGGGACACATCGAGTGGCCACCACCCGCACAACCCAACCAGGGCCAGGGACAAACCGCAACCAAGGTACATGCCCTTAGCGGGAACCGAACCCGGGACTCTCTGGACCGCAGGCCAACACTCCAACCGCTGAGCCAAACCAGCCAGGGCTATTTTTTTATTAATTTGTTTTTGTTACAGATGTTTCTCATTTTCCCCCCAGTTTTTATTTAAGGTATTTATTAGATCTCGCTATCAATTTATATTTGCTTGATAAAAGAGTGGGAAGCTTTCTTTGTCTAAGCCCTGGACCATTTAAATCCCATTGGAATGTTCTGTTCTTCAGAGTTTGCTAAATTCCCTGTCAAATCACCTGAGCCCTGTGCTCTCTTGAAGGGTAGTTCTGTGAAGTGTTTCTTCTCTTGAAATTAGTCTGTTTAGATTTCCAATTTTACCTATGACTACTTTTGGTAAATTGTTTTCCTAGAAATACATTTCATCCAAGTTTTAAGTTTATTTTCATAAAGCTATGCAAAGTATTCTTTATCTCTAATTACCTCTTCATGTGATTTCTCCCTTTGTAATTTCTTTTGTGCATTCGTGTTTTCTCCCGTTATTTTTCTTGATTACATGTTGACTTATTTTGATTTTTTTAAAGAACTTATCATTTGTCAGTTTTTCTCTACTATAGCCATTAACGTCTGCTTTTATTAATTTCTTCCTCTGCTTTCCTGTGTTTTTCCTATCCTTGTAGTTACAGGCGCAGTTCGTTTACTCTCAGGTGCTTGTTTTTGTGGGTATAATTAGAAGCTATAAATGTTCTCCTTGAGCACTATTCTAGCGGTGTCCTATATGTCCAGGTGTATAGGAATTGCCCTTTTCTCGAAGTTCTGCAGGTTTGGATTATATATCCTCTCTGACCCAAGAGAATTGTAGCAGAGGCGAGCACATTCCAGGTGCCAGGTTTATTGCATTTGTAATCAGATGCTCTTCACTATATTTCTTTTCAAATTTTTTATTAGGACTTTCTTTGTGACGTAATAGATGGTCACTTTTCTCACACATTCTATCGGTATTTGAAAAGAAGGTACATTCTCTGTGTTCAGTATGTACCTTCACATCACACACACATTCACACATTCACACATTCACAAGATGCACTGTACCAGTCGCCTTAGGTCTGTCCTGTCTGGGACTGAGGTTGGGTCAGCGTCTCAGCTCTGCTTTATGAAAGCTGCAGCTGTTACTTGGTGGACAGTGTTTCTGACCATTTTAGGTTGTTGGAGAAGTGCACCTTCAGCATTGCAACGTGCCCTTTCTCTCGGGCTTACTGCTTTTGGGCCCGGATTCGATCTTGTCCGAGATTCAGGTTGTGGCCGCTGCTTTGCCTGTCTTTTCCTGTATGCACATGCAGTGGTTAACTTCTGACCTTTCTCACTCGCTTTCAGAGGCGCCCCTTGCAGACAGCCGGGTTGGGTTTGCCTTGTGACCCAATCTGAAATCTTTCCCTTTAATTGGTGAGTTAAGACCATTTACATATATTGTATGATTAAAAAAAAAAAAAAGCTCTAGCCAGTTTCACTAAAGAAAGAGTTGGCGTGATTTACTTTTCACCCTCTGTTCTGGCTTGCTGCTAATGATTTCAGAATCACCTGGATCATTGCTAACCAGTGTGCATGCTCTAGGGTCGTCCACACGCTGTGCTCAATTTGGTATTGCTGCCACTGCAGTGATGGACGCCAGTCTGGCCAACATGGCGTAGTACTCCGTTCCGGTTTCTCGAGGCTGGACAGGTGCTGGTGAGATGACCAGTTTCCCTTTGCTTGTCTGCTTGTCTTCTGAGTCCGCTGGCACCCCAGCATGTACATTCCACTTTTCATAGCCAGTAGGTACCTGGCGTTGAGGGGCTTCAGTGAGCTTTTCATCTTCTTTGCAGCCACCATCTTCCTGCCTTAGGTGGACATGGTCCCCAACCAAGAGCAGCCACCAAAATAGCCAGGGAGCAAGAAAGTGATCAGTTATTTTATATATGACTACAGATACATACCTCCCTTACTGCAATGGGGTTTCTTTCCGTAATGCATTTGGACAGTGTCAATCAAAAACAGGAGGACTGTACCCGGGGAGTTGGGAGTTGATGAGTGATGGAGCAGCTGCACCTAAGAAGGCCCCACTGGATGGCAGTGTTGGGGGGCTGCTCTGGGGGAGGCTCTGGAGCTCTGTCTTTACCCCTGTCCTCAACATCTTTGAAAGCAACACTTGTAACGACAGAGAAGACCTGAGTCACATTTTGAAATGACAGTACACGGCATGACAGCCTCCCCCACCCCAGGGCACAGAGCTGCTCTGCGCCTCGGCCGCCTCTCCTGGAGCACCTGGGTCCCCACCAGCACGCGCCTCCACAGGCCGGGCGCTGTCTCTCCACGCAGCAGGAGCGCAGTGAGACCTGATGGACAGTTCATGCCCAGCTCTGTGTGGTCACTGTTCTCGGCCTCATCCCAGGGCGGTTCGCTCGCTCTCTGTGCAGCCAGCCCAAGCCTTGGCCTCTGGACCCAGTCATGAACCTCCAGCTCAGTCAGCTGGCTCCTATTCTGGGAGGCTGTGCAGTGACAGACTCAGGCCGCTGTCACAGAAACCCTTGACACAACCCAGGGCGGGTGAGTAGCCACTGACAGCCAAATCCTGACCTCAGGGCCCTGGAAACGCCCTCTCCCACCGGGTGGGTAGGAGTGTCCGCAAACAGCCACAGAGCCGCACACTGTTGGGCAGACGCCCAAGCCCACTCTCCTCCCCGCTCCGTGGACACGTGAAGCTCGAGCTCCGGCACGAGGTGTCCACACCTAGGGGTTCTGGGCCATCACAGCGGTCCTTGAGTGGCTTTTTCTTCAGTCCAGCTTTAGTGCAAACACAATGCAGCTATTAATGTAGAGAAATCTGCACACTCGGCATGTTGTGAAATGCGTCACGTCTGTTTATTGCAATTCACAGAAAGGATGAGCACTGAGCCAGCTCCTGGGCGTGGGGTCGGGCTCTGCGCAGTGAGCATCGCGATCCGCGGGCAGCTCCTCCTCCTCAATGGCTCGGGGTTAACGAAGGCAGCCCTGCAACACATGGCTCAGGGGTCAGTACTTTTCAGACGCAAGCCAGCTTCACTTCCCTTAGGCTGAAGGACAGTGGGCGAACTCTGGGCACTAACTGTCAGGCAGGCAGAACGCTCACACGTTCTCTACTTCAGACGCACAGCATATTCCACGCACACCAGAGACCACCTGGGATCACCCTGCCTCGCACTTCCTGTTGCAGGCACGCCCACCTCCCCAGGCTTGTGCTGGGGGGGCTGCCTCATCCTGCGGGCACCCCCATTAGCTGCGGCTTCCCATGGAGCTCAGTGAGGAGGTTCCCCTGCAGGACTGACCACACTGAGATGGGCTCTCCCAGACCGCACCGGGGCAGCCCGTGCCCAGCCCAGTCCTCAGAGGGAACGTGGTCATGGTCAGTGCAGAGATTTGTCTGCCCAAGGCTTGTTTTTCAAGCGGAACGTTAGTAGACAACCTCTGAGTGAAGCCATTGAGAACAGACAGGGTACAAAGCAGGACAATACACTAGTCCAAGGAGAAAACTTCACTTGGTAAAAAATGCTAAACAGCGCTTCCACAGAAAGTCCCTCCAGACCACTCTTCCGGTTTCAAAGGAGAAAGGGCTTTTCCTGTGGATGCGGGCAGATGAGAACAGTGCATGCAAGCAGAGGCGTAGGCGCTATGCGTGGTGGGTGTTCTGGGGGACGCTGGGTTCTGGGCCCCGCTCACAAGGCTCTGCACTGGCAGAGGGGTTGTGCCGCGGGGCCAGTCTCCCCTCGGGATCAGGGCAGTCTTTGCACCACAGCAAACAGCATGTGAGGCTTTTTCTTCTGGCTGAGCTCAAATAGCACCTGAGAGCTGGCTCTCCAACTATGTGAAATGTCTTATTCAAGAGGCATTAGAAACAGAAATGCAAGTTTTAACTTGGTGAGATATTTGTTAACACATCACATTGAAAAGCCCCAAACCACAGTAACAAAACATTCTACCCTCACCCATCTCCTGAAGAAGTTATGGAAGAAGTTTCTCTTTCGCTTGGGCTTTGGAACAGGCTCACAGGTGTTGCTCTCTTGGTTCGATTTCTCAGCTTTCCTGTTTTCACACTCGTTGATGTCCTTGAAACATCCAGACTCAATCATCTGCGTCCACAGAAAGGCAGGAAAAAAAGTGGGGAGACGCCCTGGCCAGCTTGGCTCAGCAGTTGAAGCGTCAGCCCGCGGACCAGAGTCCTGTGTTCGGTTCCTGCTAAGGGCACGTACCTTGGTTGCAGTTTGTCCCCAGCCCCAGTTGGAGTCATGTGGATGGCAACCATTCGATGTGTCTCTCTCACATGGATGTTTCTCCCTTTCTCTTCCTCCCTCTCTCTCTCTCCTGCTCTGAGGATAGATGAAAAGTATTCTCTGGGGAGGGGATGATAAAAAAAAAAAGAAGTGGAGAGACACCCACGGTCTATCAGCCCTGGGCACCAGGCCAGCCCGCCCTCCATTCCTGCTGGGCTGCCTTCTGCTCTCCCTGGGTGAGCACTGTGGCCTCCCCTCCCCCGTGCACAGCAAGCCCTGTCCAGGAAGCAGGGTCAGCTGGAAGTCCCTATCAGCTCCAAGTGGCCACTTACTGTGCACCACCTGTGAATGACCTTACCTCTCAGCACACCAACACACATGCTGTGTGTGTGTAAAATAGCTAAGGAACCGTAGAGGAAACTGACACAGGTGCACACACACCCCTTCCTTCCGGCCCCTGAGGTAACCGTGCGTGCCACGAGGGCGGTACCTCATTCTGCCAGGGGATGGAGACACAGCCCGTGGCGAACTGCTTGTAGAAGACGGTGTCCGTGGGGTCCAGCTGGATGCCTTTCACCATGGAGAACTGCTCGATGTCCAGGACATCCTTACAGTAAATGGCATGTGGCTGCACAAGGAGAACAGGGGGGTCAGTCTTGAGGTCACTAGACCACCGGGTGTCCTCTTATTTTTTTTTATTTTTTTCTTTTTCTTTATTGATTTTAGAGACAGAAGAAGGGAGAGAGAGAGAGAGAGAAACATCGATGAGAGAGAACATTGACTGGCCACCTCCTGCACGCCCCCCACTGGGGATCAGGCCCACAACCTGGGCATGTGCCCTGACTGGGAATCGAACCGGCGACCTCTTGGTGCAGGGTCAATGCTCAACCACTGAGCCACACCAGCCAGGCTACCGGGTTTCCTTAACCACTAAGAACACAGTGCACGTGGAGTCCAGTCCTGGTTCTGGCCAAGCCCCTCATCTGAAGCACTTCCAACTCCTCCCCCAGACAAGGTCAGTGTCACAGACCTAGGGACACTGTCCAGCCACCTCTCTCACACACACCTCTTGAGACCCCATGTGTCCCTTTTCTTCAGTGGACAATGGATTACAGACAGGCCACAGTAAAGAGGGTGGCCGGGTACTCTTGCGGGTACACGGAGGAGGTTAGGCCCTCCGCCCTGGACCCTCACCCCTGCCTCTGACCCTCAGCTTCCTTCTCCTTGAGCGCCTACCTAGTCTAAGTGAACAGTGGCAGGCCCCACTCCCTGCTCCATGGTCCCGTTCAGAGCTCCTCTGAGGTCTGCAGCCAAGGGAGGCTGCCCGCAGGCCTTCCTCAGGACGGAGCCGGCCCTGTGTGCCCAGGTGCCGGCCTCAGGAAGCAGGCAGGCTGTCAGTGCGGCTGCCGCGGCTGGGACTGAGGGCGAGAGCACAGCTGCCCCGGCCTGGCCCAGCTGCTGCCAGGGCACCCTGCAGCTCTGAGAACGTGCACCGCAGTGAGTGTGGAGACCCACAAAGTCATGTTCCTGATGTCGTTGGTTGAATCTCTCTGAAAGCAGCTGTCACCACAAAGTGGGGGAGGGCTGGCAAGGAGTGGCCCCCACCCAAGGCCCAGACCTGTACTGCCACCCACTCAAATTAAAGTGCCTGACACATCACCATCAACTCTGCTGTGACCTGGCCCCCATGGTCCCCTGGTTAAACTCAGAAGAACCCCCAGAACTGCCCGGAGCCTTGGCCCCGTGCCACTGTCACCCCGCCTTTCCTCCCGGGCCCCAGGCAGCCCCAGGGCCTGGTGGAAGAAGGCATTCGAGATGGGCGGCCCATCTGAAGTCCCTCCTGGTGCCCTGCTCTTCCTGTGACTCTCACTGCCGACCTGCGCAGGCTGGAGCGGCTCCGCTGCGGGGAGACCTGGCTGCATCATTCTCCCTGTGCCGGCCCCAGTGCCATCACCATGTAACGGGGAACTAATTCGAGGGAGGGTGTACTCGTGCAAGATGTGTGGATGGCGCCTAAGTCCCGAACTGTGTGGCCACGAACATCTGAACTGCACGTGTCACGTCCATGACACCCTGCAGGGCCGCCTCCTGTCTGCGGAGGCCGAGCCCAGACAGTTGTTCGGTCATTCATGCCCGTGCTCCACCAGCACTGACACTGGCCAGGCCAGGCTGAGCACCCATCCGGGCTCCCGAGGACGCTCAGGCCCGGCAGGACCTCTGAGACAGCGGGGGAGCGCACACGGGGCTGACATCAGGAGGGACACTGCCCAGGAGGCCATGCAGTGCTGCTGGGCTTCTGACAAGGCCGTGACGCGGGGCAGCTCCAGCCAATGAGGGCCCACAGCTGACTGCAGGCCACCGGGCCGGAAGCCAGAGCCACGGGGAGGGCCTGTGAGGACAGGCCTGGAGCCCTGTCGGGTGTGAGGGGCAGTACTTACGTCAGGGCGGAAGGGGGGCTCTAACATATGTGCTTCCAGCCTCCTGAAGTTAATGTCCTTGAACACAGGGTGCTTTTTCACACCAGCTGCTCCGTCACCCTTGCAGCCCAGGCGATTTTTGGGATTCTTGGTGAGTAACTGTGCAGGAAGCAGAAATGGAGTCAGAAAGCTCCTGGCGTAAAAAAAAAAAAAAAGACTCAAATCTCCCTACAATAACCAAAGACTTGGGTGGCAAAGAGCACCTACAATCACTTGAATTCAGAGTATCCACCAAACTTCACTAATTCAGATTTCATTAATTTAGAACATGTGATGCTTCAAAAATAAGCTAAAACTAAACTTTCCTTTTATGCTATCAATAAATTAAGAGTTGGCTAAGTAAATCCTTAAGAAAAAAAAATTAGCCATGAAAAATGAAACTAAAAAAAAAAGTAGAAACTGTTGAGTACTCAGAGATACTAATTTAATGCTACGTTACATTTATACTTAGAAACCATTTATACTTAATCTATTAAGTAGATCACTAGGATCTCAGGCAAAAACTTAGCAAACCGAGTTCTAGAAATGATATATTCTTTTTTTAAATTTATTTTTATTAATTAATTTTGGTTACAGATGTTTCTCCTTTTTCCCCCACTGATCCCTCCCACTCCCTCCCTGCCCTGTCCCCAGTTTGTTGTCCATGTCCACTGTTCATGCACACATGCATATAAGTTCTGTGGTTTATCTCTCCCCCACCACCCCCTCTTCTGGGGATTGTCAGTCTATACCCCACTTCCATGTCTCTGGGACTACCCCATTCCTCAGACTGTTATGTTCATTATATTCCACAAATAAGTGAGATCATATGATACTTGTCTTTCTCTGTTTGTCTTATTTCGCTTAGGATGATACTTTCCAGGTCCCTCCATGTAGTCTCAAAGGATAAGAGATCTTTCTTTCTTACAGCTGTATAGTACTCCATTGTCTACATGTACCACTGCTTTTTTATCCATTCGTCTGCTGATGGACACTTGGGCTGTTTCCAGATCTTAGCTATTGTAAATAGTGCTGCTACGAACATGGGGGTACATATATTCCTTCTGATTGGTATTTCAGGATTCTTAGGGTATATTCCTAGAAGTGGGATCACTGGGTCAAATGGAAGTTCACTTTTTAATTTTTTGAGGTAACACCATATTGTTTTCCATAGTGGCTGCACCAGTCTGCATTCCCACCAGCAGTGTACTAGAGTCCCCTTTTCTCCACACCCTCACCAACACTTGTTGTTTGATGATTTGTTGATAGCGGCCATTCTGACAGGTGTGAGGTGATACCTCATTGTTGTTTTACTTTGCATCTCTCTGATGATTAGTGATGTTGAGCATTTCTTCATATGTCTCTTAGCCATTTGTATGTCCTGTTTAGAGAGGTGTCTATTTAGTTCCTCTGCCCATTTTTTAATTGGGTTCTTTGTCTTCCTTTTGTTGAGTTGTATGAGCACTCTATATATATTGGAAATTAACCCCTTATCTGATATATCATTGGCAATTATGCTCTCCCATACAGTGGGTAGCCTTTCCATTTTGATGATTGTATATTTCTCTGTGCAGAAGCTTTTGAGTTTGATGTAGTCCCATGTGTTCATTTTCTCCTTTGCTTCTATTGCCTTAGGTGATGTATGAGTGAAAATTCTGTTGCGTATGATGTCTGAAATTTTGTTGCCTACAGTTTCTTCTAGGATTTTTATGGATTCATGAGTCACATTTAAGTCTTTTATCCATTTTGAGTTTATTCTTGTGTAGGGTGTAAGTTGATAGTCTAGTTTCATTTTTCTGCATGTAGGTGTATAATTTTCCCAGCACCTTTTATTAAAGAGGCTGTCCTTACTCCACTGTATGCTCTTGCCACCTTTGTCAAATATTGAGCATATTGCCTTGGGTCCATTTCTGGGTTCTCTGTTCTGTTCCACTGGTCTATATGCCTGTTCTTGTGCCAGTACCAAGCTGTTTTGATTACAGTGGCTTTGTAGTATAACCTGAAGTCTGGTAATGTGATCCCTCCAACTTTGTTCTTCTTTTTCAAGATTGCTGTGGCTATTCGAGGTCTATTTTGGTTCCATATGAACTTTTGAAGTACTTGGTTTAATTGTGAAGTATGCCATTGGTATTTTGATGGGGAATGCATTGAATCTATAGATTGCTTTGGGTAATATGGACATTTTAATGATGTTAATTCTTCCAATCCATGAACAGGGTGTGTGCCTCCAACTTTTTTTATATCTTCCTCTATTTCTTTTTTCAACGACCTATAGTTTTCTGCGAATAGGTCCTTTATTTCTTTGGTTAAGTTTATTCCTAGGTATCTTAATATTTTTGCCGCAATGGTAAATGGGGCAATGGTAAATGGGATTGTTTTCTTAGTTTCTCTTTCTGTGAGTTCATCACTGGTGTATAAGAATGCCATCGATTTCTTGATGTTAATTTTGTATCCTGCTACTTTTCCAAATTCATTTATTAAGTCTAATAAATTTTTGATGGACTCTTTGGGGTTTTCTACGTATAGTATCATGTCATCTGCAAATAATGACAGTTTCACTTACTCCTTTCCAATTTGGATAACTTTTATTTTTTCTTCCTGTCTGATTGCTGTGGCTAAGACTTCCAGTACTATGTTAAATAAGAGTGGCAAAAGTGGGCATCCTTGCCTTGTTCCTGTTCTTAAGGGAAATGCTTTTAGTTTTTGCCCATTGAGTATGATGTTGGCTGTAGGTCTTTCATATATGGCCTTTATTATGTCTAGATATGATCCCTCTATTCCCACATTGCTGAGCGTTTTTATCAGAAATGGATGCTGGATTTTGTCGAAGGCTTTTTCGGCATCTATTGATATGATCATGTGTTTTTTATTCTTCATTTTATTTATGTGGTGTATCACATTTATTGATTTGCGAATATTGTACCAGCCTTGCATCCCTGGGATGAATCCCACTTGGTCATGGTGAATAATTTTTTTGATGTATTGCTGGATCCGATTTGCTAGTATTTTGTTCAGGATTTTGACGTCTATGTTCATCAGGGATGTTGGCCTGTAGTTTTCTTTCTTTGTAGTGTCTTTTTCTGGTTTTGGAATTAGAATTATGCTGGCTTCATAAAACGAGTTTGGAAGTCTTCCTTCTTCTTGAATTTTTTGAAATAGTTTGAGGAGAATGGATGTTAGTTCTTTGAATGTTTGGTAAAACTCCCCCATGAAGCCATCCCGGCCTGGGCTTTTGTTTGCTGGGAGAGTCTTGATTACATCTTCAATTTCCTTAGTTGTTATTGGTCTGTTCAAGTTTTCTATCTCTTCCTGGTCCAGTTTTGGGAGACTGTGTGTTTCTAGAAATTTGTCCATTTCGCTTAGATTGTCGAATTTGTTGCCATATAATTTTTCATAGTAGTTGTTAACGATCTTTTGTATTTCTGTGGTGTCAGTTGTTACTTCTCTTCTTTCATTTCTGATTTTGTATATTTGGGTTCTCTCTCTTGGTTTCTTGGTGAGTCTAGCTAAGGGTCCATCAATCTTGTTTATCTTTTCAAAAAACCAGCTCTTTGTTTCATTGATCCTTTGAATTGTTTTTTTGGTCTCTATGTCGTTTATTTCTGTTCTGATCTTTACTATTTCCTTCCTTCTACTTGCTCTGGGATTTTCTTTTTGTTTGCTCTCTAGTTCTTTAAGTAGAAATGATATATTCTTAAAATTAATAGAAAGTATCTCTTTCGGCCTGGCCGGTAAGGCTCAGTAGTTGAGCATCAACCCTGCACCAGGAGGTCGCCAGTTCTATTCCCTGTCAGGACACATGGTTGTGGGCCAGATCCCCAATGGGGGGCGTGCAGGAGGCGGCCAATCCATGTTCTCATCTATGTTTCTATCTCTGTCTCCTTCTCCCTTCCTCTCTCTAAAAATCAATAAAGAAAAAAATTATTAAAACAAATCTTAAAAATAAAAAAAGAAAGTATGTCTTTCAAAGGTATTCCCTATTTAGCCCTGGCTGGTTTTGCTCAGCGGTTAGAGCATTGGACCATGGACCAGAGAGTCCCGGGTTCAGTTCCCGCTAAGGGCATGTACCTCGGTTGCAGTTTGTCCCCAGCCCCGGTTGGAGTCATGTGGGTGGCAACCACTCAATGTCTCTCTCTCACGTCGATGTTTCTCTCTCTCTCTTCCTCCCTCTCTCCCTCCCGCTCTATCTGAAGGGGGGAAAAAAAATCAAAGGTATTCCCTATTTATATCTTTATAATTGTCACAAATTCAAAAAGACCTTCCTCCGCAGTTATAATCAATCAAAACGGTTTGGCTGTGCTCAAAGCCACCCAGGAAAGACCTGGAGCTCAAACCCATAGCACAGACGGCTGGGGAGCTGCAGCCAGTCGCACCCAGCCTGCCCGCTATGCACAGGTCTGCCAGGAACACAGGCCCCGCGGTTCAGCTGTGTCTGCTGCTTCTGCACGAGAGGTGGCCGAACAGCTGTGACAGAGACCTGCGCAGCCTAAATAATATTGACCCTCTGGCCCTCCCAGAAAAGTCTGCTGACCCCTGGCAAGACTCACAGCCACCACCCACCCTTTTCTGAATATAAATTGAAGTCCCAGGCAAAGGCCAGAGCACATTCTGGTTCCAGCTTACCTGCTTTTTACTAGAGTTATTTTTTATGTTCATTTGGGCCTGCCATGAGCCTATGAGCCTCAGGCAGGCTCTATTTCTAATTCATGCTTTTACATTCCTGCAGCCCTATCAGGGTGCAGCTAGCACTCAGTCAAAATCTGTCAGCTGAACATAAACAGCAGCTCAGCCAGAATGTTATTAAAGACAGAGGAGCCTTGGCCAATTTGGCTCAGTGGTTAGAGGGTCGGCTTATGGACCAAAGGGTCTCAGGTTCAATTCCGGCCCAGGGCACGTACCTCAGTTGTGGTTCGTCCCCGGCCCGGTCAGGGTCGTGTAGGAGGCAACCAGTCATGTGTCTCTCTCACGTCGATATCTCTCTCCCTCCCCTCCAGCCTAGCTAAAGATAAATGGAAAAAATGTCCTTGAGTGAGAATTAAAAATAAATAAAATAAAATGACAACTATTAAAAAAAAAAAAGATGGAGGAGCTGGAAGAAGGGGCCCTGACCCCACTGCTCAGTGACAGGCCACGAGCACAGCACTCATATGTGGAATGAAAGGAGAGGGAACCAGCGTAACTGCTGTCCAGCCACTGTCAGCCCCCAGGAGGCACGCATGGTTCAGTAAGAGGCGTGCCTGCTGGGATGTCAACATGCCCCAGTAAGCAGCCCTCCAACCCCGCCCTGCCCTGGGCACACCCCGACGGCATGACCAGCAAGCCTTCCTCAGCAGCATTTCAAGCAGCCTCCTCTGTTTGTTCCTGTCTCTCTAACTCTGGCAAGGAGGAACCATGACTCCAACAGGCTGGGGCTCCTGCGACAGGCGAAGGCACACCGTGGGGCTTCTGACCCCCTAGTTCAAACCCACATGGACCTCTGATGCCGCCAGAATCGCCCTCGCCTCCCTCCATCTCCTCTCCTCCAGACACCACGCCTCCTCCGCTCACACCTCTGACAGCTCCCTTCGGCCCCGAGCGAGCGGCTGAGGACCTCAGAGACCAGAGCCACAGGAGGTTCACAGGGCCCACTGCACACCCACGGCCCGGCCACGGCACGACTCCTGTGCACCGCCTCTCCCCGCTCCGCCTCTCCTGCCCATCTCCCCTGGGTGCAGCCAGGGCTGTGTCCCAGCCCTTCTCCTCTCCCTGCAGGGCTTGGACTTCCCCACATCAAACCCGCAGGTGCCACTTCCCTGTCCAGCTAGAATCTGACCGCTTTGTCACCTGCTCTGCTACCACCCAGTCTGAGCTGCCACCCCCACGGGAACTTCTGCAAAGCCCTGGCTGCCTCCCTCTGAACCTCCTTGCAGTCTCTTCCCAGCATGTTACTCCCCTCGGAACCCCGGGAGGGCTTCCCAAGGTCAGTGGACACCTCCCTCCCCCAACCGTCTGACAGTCCACACAGCTTCCTGTCCATTCCCACCACCCCTGCAGTAGGATGAGCCCAGGGGACGGGGCCCTTGTCTGTTTTACTCACTGCTGGGTCCCCAGTGCCTAGGACACTCCCATAGAAGATGCTCATACATCCTCCAGGTGAAAATGAATGAAGAATTGTGCTCAGAACATCTAGATACTGGCTTATGTCAGTGATGAGAGTCCTTTCACCCCCTCAGTGTCCGGAAGCCACGACACCAAGTGAATGAAAGGGGCAGCTGTCCAGCCCGAGAGCACAGGGAGCAACCTGACTGCACCTCGGCAGGCTGTCCCCCTGCTGTGACACAGCCTTGCAGGGCCCCACACAGCAGGGAGGAGGCAGACACACGGCAGGTGGAGTCCGGTGGAGTCCGGGTGTCGACAGGACCACGCCCTGGCAGCTAGCCAAAGGGAAAGAGACACGGGTGAGAGAAAACCTCACTGTTTCCAAGAATGCTGAAGAATCTGCCCTATGTTTAGTTCATGTGGAACCGGCCGGCGACAGGAGACGGGTGCTCTGGGAAGAGAAGGCTGACCGCGGCACGCGCTCCCCTCGCCGGTACCTCTGAGAACCCTGCCCTGCTTTGCTCTGCTTCGTCGGAAGCCCAGCTCTGCCATTCCCCTGGGTGATGTCTGGAACGCTCCCCACGGCCCAGACTTGAGAGGAAGCCCCACCGGCCTTCGCACCAGGAGACCCCAGGAGGACCTCCGGCGGCCTCTCCCGAGCCCGAGGGCCTTGCAGCCACTGCACACGAACAAAGTCTGCTGGGGCTTCCCCGCCAGTGAAGAGGACAGGGTGAGCGGCTCTGGAGCCCGACCCACCATCCTGCAGATGGACTTGGCGTCCTCCGAAAACTTCCTGGAGTACTCCTCCGCATCCTCCTTTACTCGCCGCTCCAGGTCCTCCCGCTGGATTTTCTCTTTGGACTTTCTGAAGGGACAGTGTCCCTGAATCATCTCATATATCAGACAGCCAAGTCCCCACCAGTCAGGACTAAATGCATAGTTCTCATTATCGATCACTTCAGGAGCTATATAACAAATACAGGAAATTTAAATTAAATTTTAGTTTTACATTTTCTTGTAATCAATTCCAAACAACACATGCTAAAGTAACGGTCACAACACGGACGAGCCTGGAAACATGCTACGTGAAGAACCAGAAACAGGAGGCTGACTGGTGTGTGGCAGCCTGTGAAACAGGAGACCACGTGCACGGGGACACACGTGGTGAGTGCTGCAGGGCCAGGTGGGAGGCGGCAGACGGGGGCAGCTGCTGACAGGCACAGGGGTTCCTTGTGGGGGCACGGAACCGCTCTGAAGCTGGCCGGCGGTGGAGGACGCGCGGCGCTGAGTGCTGAGAGCCACGAGCTGCACACCTCAGGTCGCTGGGCTTGCAGGGAACTGCATTTCCACACAGCTGTCCCTGGAAGCCGAGACGGTCCACAGAGAGTACCTGCCAGGAAGGGCGCTCCTTCCAAACACACAGAGCCATGGCCACAGGCGCCCTGGGCAGTGGCCATCCATTCCCAACGTCGGTGTGTCCCCCAGAGCCAGGTGACCGCAGGAACAGTGAACTGTGAGGATTCCTATGGGACTCTGCAGAGGCCTCAGGGCCCCTCCCTCACGTGAGAGGTGACTCCCCGAGAGCCGGCCCAAGGTGGGCCCCTGCTCACCTAGGCTTCAGAAGAACGAGGGCACACAGCTCACGGGGCCTACAAGGCCAGTGTGCACCGAGGGTGGCAGCGGTGGCAGAGCAAGATGGGTGCCTGGTTCAAACCTGCCTTCAGGAGCCCAAGAGGCTCTGGCCACGTAGGAAAGGAGCTGATGGGAGGCCTCCCCACACTCCCATGGGGCCCCTGCCTCAGGCAGACGGCCTCCAGGCGGGCTTGCACTGAATCTCTCTGGGTCCTGAGGACTCGGGCACTGAGACAGAGTGCAAGGGTCACTGGGGGTCCTCTACGCACCCATGTAGCCGACGGTCCCAACTCTTCCTCGAATCGTCTGCCCTTGTGGGATCTCCATGGCTAGACCAAGATCTGAAATCCGGATATGTCCTGCGTGTGTTCAAACACATACACAAGTCACAGGGGGACGTGCTGGCACTTTAACAGCAGTGCAAAATGGGAAAAACACCTAAAAACATGGGTGGAAATTACAGCAATCCATACTCGAAAATCCTGAAAGCTAAAATTATACTGAGCTTTTCTACACTTGCTGAAACACCACACAGTGCATCTGTTCCACTCACAGCAGGAAATGAAATTTATGCATGGCTATAGATCGGAAGCCCTGTAACCAAAGACAACCAGCTCATGAGCCCTCCAAGCACTGAGATTGTGCCTAATCAGTCTGCATAATGCTCGAGAGGGAACATGGACCTTGGACGTAGGCCGTACCGGCATGCCCTGGGCAAGTGCCCCCCGGGACAGGAGAGCAGAGGGTCAGAGGATGCGGGAGCCACCAGGCGGAGTCCGAGCCCCAGCTCTGCCACATGTTCGTGCGCCTCGGCTTTCTCCTCCCACACAGAAAGAGTCCTTCAACAATGCAGTTTTATGTACTTTATGTTTAAGTAGTGCACACATATGTTGTGAAATTTTAAGTTCCCCTGTCTCATTATTCTTTTAAATTTTTATTTTATTTTATTTTTTTATCCTCACCCAAGGACATTTTTGCATTTATCTTCAGATAGAGTGGGAGGGAGAGAGGGAGGAAGAGAGAGAGAAACATCGATGTGAGAGAGACACATCGACTGGCTGCCACCCACATGACCCCAACCAGGGGCGGGGACAAACCACAAGGGGACGCGCCCTAAGCAGGAACCGAACCCAGGCCTCTCTGATCCGCGGGTTGACACTCTAACTGCTGAGCCAAACCAGCCAGGGCTAAAAATTTATTTTGTAAACTGAGAGGTGAACAGTCAACATTTTGACGAGCTGACAAGTATGGTAGTTTGAGAACACGGTCTGCGGGCCGCGTGTAGGAAGCAGGCTCATGCAACCTGCTGGTGGCGTGCAAAGGAGTACAACAGCCTTGGCCCACGTGGCTCAGTTGCTGGGCACTGACCCGTACATGGAGAGGTCCCAGTTCAATTTCCTGTCAGTGCACATGCCCAGGTTGCGGGCTTGATCCCCAGTAAGGGGCATGCAGGAGGCAGCCAAAAAATGTTTCTCTCTCATCAATGTTTCTCTTTACCTCTCCCTTCCTCTCTCTCTAAAATCAATAAAAAAACATATTAAAAAACAAACAAACAAAAAAACCAACACAACAGCATTGGGCAGAACTTGGCAGAACTGCAGTGAACCTGTCCTTCAGCCAGCACCCCACTCCCACGGGCCTGCCCCAGGGCGCACTAGAGGAACGAGTGCCCGTGCCCAGGCGTGCGCTGCGCAGAGTGGACCACCCCACTCCCACGGGCCTGCCCCAGGACGCACTAGAGGAACGAGTGCCCGTGCCCAGGCGTGCGCTGCGCAGAGTGGACCACCCCACTCCCACGGGCCTGCCCCAGGACGCACTAGAGGAACGAGTGCCCGTGCCCAGGCCCTGCGCTGCGCAGAGTGGACCACCCCACTTCCACGGGCCTGCCCCAGGACGCACTAGAGAACGAGGGCCCGTGCCCAGGCGTGCGCTGCGCAGAGTGGACCACCCCACTCCCACGGGCCTGCCCCAGGACGCACTAGAGGAACGAGTGCCCGTGCCCAGGCGTGCGCTGCGCAGAGTGGACCACCCCACTCCCACGGGCCTGCCCCAGGACGCACTAGAGGAACGAGTGCCCGTGCCCAGGCCGTGCGCTGCGCAGAGTGGACCACCCCACTCCCACGGGCCTGCCCCAGGACGCACTAGAGGAACGAGTGCCCGTGCCCAGGCGTGCGCTGCGCAGAGTGGACCACCCCACTCCCACGGGCCTGCCCCAGGACGCACTAGAGGAACGAGTGCCCGTGCCCAGGCCGTGCGCTGCGCAGAGTGGGCCACCCCACTCCCACGGGCCTGCCCCAGGACGCACTAGAGAACGAGGGCCCGTGCCCAGGCGTGCGCTGCGCAGAGTGGACCACCCCACTCCCACGGGCCTGCCCCAGGACGCACTAGAGGAACGAGTGCCCGTGCCCAGGCCCTGCGCTGCGCAGAGTGGACCACCCCACTCCCACGGGCCTGCCCCAGGACGCACTAGAGAACGAGGGCCCGTGCCCAGGCGTGCGCTGCGCAGAGTGGGCAGCAGAGGCAGGACAGCCCACTCTCTACCAGCAGACGAAGGGTTCCGGGAAATCTCCACTGAGTACTGGAGAGAAATCTCTGCTACATATTAAAAAAGCAAAGTGAAGTAAAATATTGTAAGTATGTTAATATCGTTAGGAACTAATATTTTCAGCATTGGGAGAAAATCAAATGCTAATTGAAGAAGTTGAATAAGTGGGAACATCTATATGAATCCATGGTGAATATTTCCTTTGAAAAAAAAATCAATAAAAACATATTAGCTCAGTGGTAGAGTGTCGTCCCACAGACCAATGAGTCATGGGTTCAATTCCAGCCCAGGGCACGTACCTCGGTTGTGGTGCATCCCTGGCCCTGGTTGGGGTCGTGCCTGAGGCAACCAGTCAATGTGTCCCTCTCACGTCCCTCTCAGTTTCTCTCTCTCTCTCCCTCTCTTCCCCTCCCACTCTGTCTGAAGATAAATAGAAAAATATCCTCCGGTGAGGGTTAAAAAAATAATAATAAAAAGAAAAAAAACCCACATTTTCTCTGTCCACTGAGAAGGCCTAGGAAAAACGACCCACACAGGTCTCACGATGCCACTCCACAGAGAAGATGGGCCCTGGAGAAATGGTTAACTCCAGGTCTCAGCACACACGCAAGGTAATCCTGGAATGTTATCATAACAGAAAACAAGGCAGGTGTTAAAGTCTACTGGACACCTGCTGGTCACGTGGAACAGTCTAAATATCACAACAAATAATGACTCCAATGGACTGAAACATAGCAAAGTTTTAATTTAAAAAAAGTTCTCCCTTTATTGATTTTAGAGAGAGAGGAAGGAAAAGGGAGAGAGAGAGAAATATTGATGAGAGAGAACAACGATTGGCTGCCTCCTGCACGCCCTGCACTGGGGATCAGGCCCACAACATGGCCATGTGCCCTGACCGGGAATCGAACTGGCGACCTCCTGGTGCATGGGTCGATGCTCAACCACGGAGCCACATGGGCTGGGCACATATCAAAGTTTTAAAATCCACTGGGTTATAATGATAGCAAAACAGAAAAAAACACCTCTTGGCCATCTTGGAGAATGATAAAGAACACAATATTCTGAAATGTGAAAAGGGGAAGGCACGGCCAAGTATTTCACCTGATTTTCCTGAACAAACAGGTAAATACATGTTAATGAAGCAAAGTTATTTTTATAGACAAATCCCCATAAATACATGCAAAGGAACAAGAGAATCAGAATGTCATTGCTGTGCAGTCCCAGTGAGAGAGTCTCAATACGGACCTAAGCCATTAAGGGAAAGGCTGACGAGAATGAATAACAGAGCAGGCTAACACCACCGAAGCCACTGATCAGTCTGAACACCATAAAAACAGACACTCAGCCACCACCTGCCTCTGGACGTAACACAGTAGGAAGTACACACAAAAACTGCTTACCCACAATCAAACCTGACCTAACTGCTCGGCCTAACTACTGGCTTCAGGAAAAGCAGGGGACAGGGAACACGTCACATCCTGCTGAATCCACAACATGAAAATTCTACCGCACAAATGTCTGTGTAGGGCCTGCCACGGTCGCCATGACACAGACCCAGACAGGGCCTAAACAGCAGAGCGTCACTTCCTTGCAGCGCTGGAGACAAGATCAAGGTGTTGGCAGTTGGCCTCTCTCCTTGGCATGTAGATGACAACCCTCTGCCTGTGTCCTCACATCATCTTCCTTCTGTGTGTGTCTGTGTCTTATACGACACCAGTCAGATTGGATCAGGGCCCACCCCAGTGACCACCTTTTACCTTAATAATATCTATAAAGGCCCAATCTCCAAATATAAGTCACATTCTGAGGTGCTGGGGGCTAGGGCTTTACCACACAAATTTTGGAGGGATACAATTCTGCCATAATACCTGGTTTCACAAACAACAAATAATAAAAAGAAGCAGAGAGGAGGAGCCTATGAAAGTTAAAAAAGACTCAACAAGATATCAACCAAATGTAATGTGGAGTTCATTGAATATTCAATATGCAACTCAACATTTATCATAGAGTTCGATTTTAAGCCTATGGGATATTAGGTGATATTAAGGAACCATTAAATACTTTTGGATGTAATAACAGTACTGTGTTTATGTTAAGAAACAGTATCCTTCTTTTGATAAATGTATATATAAAGAAGAATAAGATGTATGGGATTTTCTTTAAAAATCATTGTTGCCCTGGCCGGTTTGGCTCAGTGGTTAAGTGTCGGCCTGTGGTCCCAAGAGACCCCGGTTCAGTTCCCACTAAGGGCGCATACCTCGGTTGCAGTTTGTTCCCGGCCCTGGTTGGGTCGTATGAGTGGCAGCCACTTGCTGTGTTCCTTTCACGTCGATGTTTCTCTTTCTCTCTCTCTCTCTCTCTCTCTCTCTCTCTCTCTCTCTCTCTCTCTCTCCCTCCCGCTCTATCTGAACAAAAAATAAAAAAATGTCCTCAGGTGAGGATTAAAAAAAAAATCATCGTCACCCAGCTAGTATGGCTCAATGGTTGAGCGCTGACCCATGCACCAGGAGGTCACTGGTTCGATTCCTGGTCAGGGCACATGCCCAGGTTGTGGGCCACATCCCCAATAGGGGACATGCAGGAGGCGGCCAATCGATGTTCTCTCTCATCTATGTTTCCATTTTTCTCTCCCTCTCCCTTCCTCTCTAAAATCATTAAAGAAAAAAAAATTTTTAAATCATTGTCCATATAACAGTACTGTGTTTTTTTTTATAAAAATTCACTATTTATGCCACTTCTTAGGAATATCTCTTTCATAACACTGAGGCCTCTTCTATAGAAAATACCAGCATGATACCGTTTTTCTTATCTCAACCACGAGCTCAATGTCATAGCCAGGCCCCTTAATTGACAAGCTTGCAAACAAGAGTGACACATTTAGCAGGGTCACAGGTGAGCACCTCGCACCTACAGCAATGACCCGTTTTCTCACCCACAATGTTAACTTCTGCTTCACAAATAACAACACAACCCAACAAGTTGTCTAGAGGGAAAACGAAGTATTTACAGAGGACCACGTCACTCGATGTCCCCTGGCTTACGGGGGAAAGGAGTTCTTAGGAATCCAACGGTACGGCAGCAAAAAACCCCAAATCAACTGCACTTGTTAAGTCTAGAAGCTAAATTATAGCTAGGATTACCTTTTTAAAAATTAAAACAGTGAGAAAACAAATAAAAGATTAAAAGCCTCCTTAAATCAAGAAAAGCAAACAAAGTGGTGTCATTCTTTTCTATTAACTGGAAGACGAGCAGGTCATGGTGTGCAGAAGACAGTCAGGCAGCAATGACCCAGCAATGCTGCTGGGCTCCTGCCTCGGGACAGGATGGAGAAGATCATGGAGACTGTGCTACTTCTGACCACAACCAGAGGAGTCTGAGAATAAGCACAATGACCAAGGAGAAAGAACAAAGCCAGAAACAGACCACACAGACACGCGATCCATGACACAGCTGGCACTTCAGAGAGAAGGTGACGGGTCAACTGGTCTATATGCAGAAAACGTAGCTTAGGCCCTGGCCAGTCCAGCTCACAGTTCAAGCATCGGCCCTTGGACTGAAGGGTCTCGGGTTTGATTCCTAGTCAAGGGTGCGTACCTGGGTTACAGGTTCAATCCCTGGTCCCAGTTGAGGTTGTACAGGAGGCAACCAATCGATGTCTCCCTCACATCGATGTTTCTCTCTCTCTTTTCCCCTTCTGCCCTTCTACTCTATCTAAAAATCAATGGAAAAATATCTTCGGGTGAGGATTAACAATAACAACAAAAAGTATCTTAGTCACTACTTCACATCATACATAAAAATCAACTGCAGACGGATTACAGGTCACATGCCTGGGTTGAGGGCCCAATCCCCAGTGGGGGACATGTAGGAGGCAGCCGATCGATGTTCTCATTGATGTTCTCTCTAATGGATGTTTCTATCTCTCTCCCTCCCTCTCTCTCTAAAATCAATAAAGAAAAAAATATTTTTTAAAAAAGGTATCTGATCAGTGGAAAGAGCTTAAAGCTATTTGAATCCTCACTGTGCAGCAGCACAGCACAAAGACTGAGCCGCAGGGGTTGGGATTGGGATAAAAAGAACAACAAAAAGAATGAACACAGGAGCCAGAAGCTATGGACACCACCTTGGCAAGATACTTCCAAATCTTGTATCTATCACCGTCCCTAAAATGGGAACTCGTGACTTCCTCCCAGGGGCTGCCTGTGCGTAAGCTGGGTGAGCAGGACAGCACTGGGGACACACTGCAAGTGCCCACGCCTGCCTTCAGGGCTCCTGCCTCCCACCTGCCCTCTCCTGGCGGCATCCTGCGGACCTCGTCTCATGCTGTCCACTGGACTGTAAGACTTCTCAGACAGCCAAATCACCCTGGAAGGCCCTCCTAAAGGAGTCAGGTGATTACTTGCTAATACTTCAGTGAGAGGTCTGGCCACAGGTCTCGCATTCCCTGGTGTGTCACCCAGAGCCCAGCCTGAGTGGGAACCACGCTGCTGACCGAGAGCCAGCCCACAGGGCCATTTCTGTCCACTCTCCCAGGGTCCCACTGCCAGTGTAAGAGAGCCCACAAGGCCATTTGGCTCCAGCCCATGAAACGTGCTCTGTAAAGTGGGCAGCAGCAGCAGGCCAGTGTTAGGAGAGCACGGAAGCGCACATCTCAGGACTAAAGCAAGAGGTGGGTCAACAGCAAGACAGAGGAGAAAGAAAAGTGCTCTCACTTTGAATCTACCTTCATATAATCCTAGAACTCGATTGGTTTCTTTATATATATATATATTTATTTATTGTTCTTTATCAATTTTAGAGAAAGAAGGGAGAGGGAGAGGGAGAGAGACAGAAACATCGATGAGAGAGAGCATCGATTGACCACCTCCTGCATGCCCCCCACTGGGCATGTGCCCTGACCAGGAATCGAACCGGCAACCTCTTGGTGCATAGGTTGATGCTCATCCACGGAGCCACACCAGCTGGGCTCCTTATTGTACATTTAAAAGAACAGGCACCAGCCTCTTTCTGTTGCTGTTTCTATTCTGCATTAACTGCCTGAGTCTGCACTGACTTTCTGTATCCAGTCCCTCTTAACAAAGTCTATGCTTTAGGACGGGAAAGGCTAACTTACCATGATCATCGAGGAGAATATTCTCAGGCTTTAAGTCTCTGCAAAGGAAGAAATGACAACAAAAAGCTCATTATTTAGGAGTCACCACCAGGACCCATTGGCAGCCTGCAGAAATAACCAGACATCTCCGTGAGCAATGCAAGAAGGGTCATGGGAGAGCTGGAGAGAGCAAGGAGACCTAAGGAAGGCATGAACCAAGCAGTGACACTAGAAAATAGTGACTAGGGCAATATTCAGGAGTGGTTTGGTGGCCAAATGGATGGGGAGGATGAGCTCAAGGGATATGCAGACCCCTTGGGCTGTTAGGGGACAGGGCAAGGCTGGCAGTGCCGACAAGGGCGATCGCAGGCACCGGCCGTGAACACGGACACGCACGAGTGAAGCCGCCAGGGAGTGGTGAGAACGCCAAGGCCCACGGGCTCCAGCACCTGCAGGATGGGCGGGGCCGCTTTCCCCCAAACCAGATGCATTGTTGCCACTAAGCTGATTCTAACTATTAATCTTCTTTGCTAAATTCTCAGATGCAAAAATATTAAAGATAATTTTAAGACATTTAATTGTTGTGCTGTTTGTTAGAACTGAGTCCGCAGCCCTTAGCAGAGCTATTAAAATGTCTAAGAATGTCAGAAACAGGTTCTTCTCATGCTACATGAGTGGCACTGCCCAGAATTGACCAACCTTGCAAATAAAAACTATTTACTAGAAGTCAAAGAGAACTGAAAGGAAAGCCAAAGTCCCCCTCTGACTGGCCATGGTGTGAGTGACCGGCCGCTAGGAAGCACTGCCCAGGGGCTCCCAGATCAAGCTCCAGAGCCAGGCTTCCAGGCCAGGGAGCAGTGCGTCCCTACCTGTACACAATCCTTTCCTTCTGCAGGTCCTCCAGGCCGCAGCACAGCTCCGCAGCATAGAAAATGGCTCTCCGCTCATCAAAGCCAGGGCTGCCCAGCGTGTAGATGTGGAACTTCAAGTCCCCTCCGTTCATAATGGTGAGCACCAAGCACAGGAACTCTCTGGTCTCGTAAGTGTAGCACAGACTAACCTGGAGACCACAGCGCCACAGAAACAAAGCACAGAGACCTGCTCACTCACAGGCGAGTCACTCTGCTTGCTGACAGTACTGAAATAAGGCACATCAGGGTTACGAGGACACCCCGCACTCCGCTTCAGGGCAATGTGTGCCCGGCGGCAGCTCCTGGGACGTTTTCCTGCTGAGAACCCGATGGCAGTTCTGTACTGAGGGAGAGAACTTGCCACGTCCAAGTGGGTAGGTGGCAAAACTTCACAAAGACACTGGGATCCTGATCCCAAAGCCACTCTCACCCTGCAGCACTGGCACTGCATGCCTGCGGGACACCCACTCAGCCTCCGGGTCACTCACCCACCCCCAGCAGTGCAAGGAGCTCTTGCTGCTGCGTCCTTCCAGCGCTTGTCAGGTCAGCCTGCGTGGTGGCTGAGTGGTGGCGCGGGCCTCTCTTCCTGCGGGCTACTCTGCATGTCTCTGGATGTGCGAGCAGGGGATGCTCACAGACTTTTCATAGACTGAGTACCCACTGGGACCTCTTTTCCCTATTCAAGGTTTTTGCCTACTTTTCTATTGGTCTGTATGTCAATTCACACACACACCCCTACCGTGGCTGCGACTGGACCGCACTTGATTCTTCTATGCATCGACTGGGGGACACTGACATCTTCATGCAGTGAGTCTCCCAGACCATGCACATGGTGTCCCTCGGCTTACTTAGGTCTTCTGTTATTTCTTTTTTAAAATATGTTTTATTGATTTTTAAGAGAGAGAGAAACATCTTTCGGCTGCCTCCTGCACGCCCCTTCCTGGGGATTGAGCCCGCAACCCAGGCATGTGTCCTGACTGGGAGTTAAACCAGGACCTCTCAGTCCATGGGATGACACTCAATCCACTGAGCCACACCAGCCGGGCTATTATTTCTTTTTAAAGTATTTTCTCAACATGACAATGTTGAACCTTTTCTTTTTAATTTACTTTTGAGACAGAGGGAAAGAGAGAGGGGGAGATGGAAAGAGAAACATTGATTTGTTTTCCACATTCATTGGTTGTTTCATGTGCCTTGACTGGGGATCGAACCCACAACCTTGGAATATCAGGAGAACACTCCACTAACTGAGCTACCCAGCCACAACGTCTATAATTTCTTGCACTAGCATTTTATAGGTCTCAGTAGAGAAGCCTTATACATTTTCAATATTTGCCTAGATTTCTGTTTTTTGATGCTATCATAAATGGTATCAATTAAAAATTTTCCTTTTCTGTTAGTTAGTATCACATTTAATAACTTGACTAACTTCCTAATCAGTTACTCAGAAAGTCTTGGACTGTCTACACACAGTCACGCTGTGGCCAGGGCGGTGGTGGGAATGAGGAGATGAACATGACAGGGACAGGGCTGACCCACTCATCAGCCGTATGCAGAATCAAGGATGAAGAATATTTCTAGGTTCCTTGGAAGTTGGCCAAGAAGGTGGAAACCAAAACATTTTATTTAAATAGAATAGACCTGGCTGGTTTGGCTCAGCGGTTAGAGCGTCAGCCCGTAGATCAGAAAGTCCCGGGTTCAGTTCCTCCTAAGGGCATGTACCTTGGTTGCAGTTTGTCCCCAGCCCCGGTTGGGGTCCTGTGAGTGGCAACCACTCAATGTGTCTGTCTCACATTGATGTTTCTCTCTCTCTCTTCCTCCCTCTCTCCCTCCCGCTCTATCTGAAGACAAATGCTAAAATGTCCTTGGGTGAGGATAAAATAATAAAATAAATAGAATAAACCACAACTACTTTTTGTTGTTGTTGTTAACTGTAACCTCAGAATATTTTTTCCATTAATTTTATAATGGCTGGAAGGGAGAGAGGGAGGAAGGAAGGGAGAGAGAGAGGGCAGAGGGGGAGAGAAACGTCGATAAAAGAAAAACACACTAATTGGTTGCCTCCCGCACATCCCTGACTGGGGCTGGGGATCAAACTTGCAATCCAGGTACCTGCTCTTGAGCAGAATCTAACCCGGGACCCTTTGGTCCACAGGCCAACACTCTAACCACTGGGCCACACCAGCCAGTGCATAAACAGTAACTACTTTTTATGTCCCTTTCATTAGTGTGGATTTCTATATTCAAGATAGTTACACAAATAAGTTTAAAGTAACTCCAAGATGAGCCCATTTATTAAAGATTTTCATGGAACACAGGTCAGACTGAGATATCAGACACATCAAGTCTTGCTATTAAATTTACACGGCAGCCATCCACTGCTGGAAAAGCTGTCCCCAGCTCACAGCAGCTGCCCTTGCACTGAGACATCAGTGACTTGGAGAAAGTGACCCCAACACTACACATCATTTTGCAAATTACCTGGCACTCTTTTCCTTCAACCAGACCTGTGCACTGCAGTAGATGCTACAGGACTATGCAATCAGGTGACGAGAAACCAGGTGAGAGATGAAACCACACCACTCACTGCTCAGCCTGGGCCTGGAACGGGTCCTGAACTCAGTCCGGACCCCTGGCAAGGTGGACTTTAAGGCTCCATACAACTGGGACGTGCTCGCTGAGGGCCACGCAGTAAATGATCCAGGTGTCAGAAAAAAGACAGAGATGGAGACAGGCTAAGAAGTCAGGAGACAGCTAGAGAAGGGTCTGCAGGCATGTCAGTCAGGAGCCAGGACCTGCTGGCTGCCAGCAGGAGGGGGAAGGGCACCTGGCCAACAAGACAAGCTTGCAGGTATGAAGAGTAACTGCCAGACAGGTGATGGAGGAGGTGAGGAATCTGTAACAGATCTTAAGTTTGAAGCAGGACCACCACTGTCTATGTTGTGTCCAGTGAGAAGTGAATAGAAAAAGAGGCTGTGACTGAAACAAAGCTGCTCCTAGCACCTGTGCCTGTTAACAGCACAAGATGGCAAAACTGCACACACTGCAACCAAGAAACACACCAAGCAATTCCCATGGCGGAAGGAAGGGGAGCTCGGAGGGAGGTCACTGAGCAAAGTGCTACTTACCAAGATCCACAGTGAGGATGGGACGACATACTTACTACCAGTCTCTGGGCACCTTCCGCAGGGCCCGCGGGACGACAGGAGGCACCTACTACCAATCCACTGGGCACCTTCCGCAGGGCCCGCGGGACGACAGGAGGCACCTACTACCAGTCTCCTGGGCACCTTCCGCAGGGCCCGCGGGACGAGAGGAGGCACCTACTACCAATCCACTGGGCACCTTCCTCAGGGCCCACGGGACGACAGGAGGCACCTACTACCAATCCACTGGGCACCTTCCGCAGGGCCCACGGGACGACAGGAGGCACCTACTACCAATCCCCTGGGCACCTTCCGCAGGGCCCACGGGACGACAGGAGGCACCTACTACCAGTCTCCTGGGCACCTTCCGCAGGGCCCACGGGCCGAGAGGAGGTACCTACTACCAGTCTCCTGGGCACCTTCCGCAGGGCCCACGGGCCGAGAGGAGGTACCTACTACCAGTCTCCTGGGCACCTTCCGCAGGGCCCACGGGCCGAGAGGAGGCACCTACTACCAATCCAGTGGGCACCTTCCGCAGGGCCCACGGGACGACAGGAGGCACCTACTACCAGTCTCCTGGGCACCTTCCGCAGGGCCCGCGGGACGACAGGAGGCACCTACTACCAGTCTCCTGGGCACCTTCCGCAGGGCCCGCGGGACGACAGGAGGCACCTACGACCAGTCTCCTGGGCACCTTCCGCAGGGCCCGCGGGACGACAGGAGGCACCTACTACCAGTCTCCTGGGCACCTTCCGCAGGGCCCGCGGGACGACAGGAGGCACCTACTACCAGTCTCCTGGGCACCTTCCGCAGGGCCCGCGGGACGACAGGAGGCACCTACTACCAGTCTCCTGGGCACCTTCCGCAGGGCCCACGGGACGACAGGAGGCACCTACTACCAGTCTCCTGGGCACCTTCCGCAGGGCCCACGGGACGACAGGAGGCACCTACTACCAGTCTCCTGGGCACCTTCCGCAGGGCCCACGGGACGACAGGAGGCACCTACTACCAGTCTCCTGGGCACCTTCCGCAGGGCCCAGGGGACGAGAGGAGGCACCTACTACCAGTCTCCTGGGCACCTTCCGCAGGGCCCAGGGGACGACAGGAGGCACCTACTACCAGTCTCCTGGGCACCTTCCGCAGGGCCCAGGGGACGAGAGGAGGCACCTACTACCAGTCTCCTGGGCACCTTCCGCAGGGCCCACGGGACGACAGGAGGCACCTACTACCAGTCTCCTGGGCACCTTCCGCAGGGCCCGCGGGACGAGAGGAGGCACCTACTACCAGTCTCCTGGGCACCTTCCGCAGGGCCCAGGGGACGACAGGAGGCACCTACTACCAGTCTCCTGGGCACCTTCCGCAGGGCCCACGGGACGACAGGAGGCACCTACTACCAGTCTCCTGGGCACCTTCCGCAGGGCCCACGGGACGACAGGAGGCACCTACTACCAGTCTCCTGGGCACCTTCCGCAGGGCCCACGGGACGACAGGAGGCACCTACTACCAGTCTCCTGGGCACCTTCCGCAGGGCCCGCGGGACGAGAGGAGGCACCTACTACCAGTCTCCTGGGCACCTTCCTCAGGGCCCACGGGACGAGAGGAGGTACTTACTACAAATCTACTTTGCACTTTCTCTAGGAGTCTCTTCTCATTCAGTGCCATGGCTTCACCTCTCCTCTTCTTTATTCTTTTTTTCTCTAGTTTTTTGCAGGCGTACATTTTCCCTGTAGCTCTCACTTGACAGGCACAAACCTAATTTAAAAAAGAGAAGAAAACATTTAATATACCCAGCATTTCCTAGGCTTTAGAGAAAACTGTGCTCCGTGATGCCGGCCCTGTGAAGAGCAGCCACAGAGCTTGAGGAGCCACGACCACTGGCACCGTGGAGACACAGTTTCTGGGCTGGCTCTCTCCCGCCCAGTCTTCTCCTCTACAGAAGGGAGCCGGGCCCAGCAAGTGAATAGAGGTGCTCAGTGAACCAAGGCAGTGGGCACACGGGACTTGTTCATATGTGATCGTGGTGTGACTGTTGTTGTTTTTTAAATCCTCACCTGAGGATATTTTTCTGTTTATCTTCACATAGAGCAAGAGGGTGAAGGTGAGAGAGAGAGACAGAGAGAGAGAGAGAAACATCAATGTGAGAGGGAAACATCGACTGGTTGCCTCCCGCACAACACTGACCAGGGCCAGGGACCAAACCACAACCAAGGTACATGCCCTTGACCAGAATCGAACCTGCGACACTTTGGTCTGCAGGCTGACACACTAAGCACTGAGCCAAACCTGCCAGGGCATGGATGCGACTTTAATTTAATGTGTCTTCCTCCTTCTTGTACAAAAGCAAACATTTTAGAAACTAAACAGATTCTTGATTTTTTTAAAAAGTTCAAAAATATAAGAAACTTTATTTCACAGAAGTCATAGACTTCCATAATTTATTCTACTTATTTTTATTTTTTTTTATTTTTTTATTTTTTTATCCTCGCCCGAGGACATTTTTTCCATTTTTTGTTCAGGTAGAGTGGGAGGGAGAGAGGAAGAGAGAGAAAGAGAGAAAGATCGACGTGAAAGGGACACATCGAGTGGCTGCCACCCGCACGACCAACCAGGGCCGGGGACAAACTGCAACCGAGGTACGTGCCCTTAGCGGGAACCGAACCCGGGTCTCTCTGGACCGCAGGCCGATGCTCTAACCGCTGAGCCAAACCGGCCAGGGCTATTCTACTTAGTTTTAAAATCATATTTATATATTACGTAACTTTATATTTTAAACGTTTTCAAACATACAAAAATAAAGAGAATAGGAAACTGTGTACTAAGTCTCCAGGTACTAGTCCCCAGGCTCTGGACTGTCAGCATATAGTCCACCCACATCTCACTCACTCAGACACGCCACCCCCACATCCCATACACACCTACTGCACAACCACACTCAGGCACACACCACACACACACACAAGCCCCCGCATCCCATACACACCTACTGCACAACCACACACAGGCACACACCACACACACACAACCCCCACATCCCATACACACCTACTGCACAACCACACACAGGCACACACCACACACACACAAGCCCCACATCCCATACACACCTACTGCACAACCACACACAGGCACACACCACACACACACAAGCCCCCACATCCCATACACACCTACTGCACAACCACACACAGGCACACACCACACACAACCCCCACATCCCATACACACTTACTGCACAACCACACACAGGCACACACCACACACACATACACAAACACACAAGGATTACTTTAAAAGCAAATATAAAACATGAGATAATTTTACCCATCAATAAAATAATCCTTATAATAAAATATAAAGCTTATTGTGAAAAATACTTAAAGTATTCATAAGGACGATTGACAACTCACCTGAAATTCCAAGATAACTATGATTAATATTCTGTTGGCTCCCTGGCCGGTTTGGCTCAGCAGTTAGAGCATGGGCCTGCGGACCAGAGAGACCTGGGTTTGGTTCCAGCTAAGGGCGCGTACCTCGGTTGCAGTTTGTCCCCGGCCCTGGTTGGTCATGCAGGTGGCAGCCACTCGATGTCTCCCTTTCACGTTGATGTTTCTCTCTCTCTCCCTCCCTCCCACTCTGTCTGAACAAAAAATGGATAAATGTCCTCAGGTGAGGATATATATATATATATATATATATATTCTGTTGGCTAGCTTCTAGTCCCCCTCTGCACACATAAATGCAAGAACATATACTTGCTCCCGCCCACCCTGGTTCTAGGGGAAGACTGGACTTTTGTCTTCTAATCCTCCTTCCCATCGTACAGTGTGTCTATTTTCTCATCATTAAATGTCCCCCAAATATGTGACTATGCCAAAACATAGTCCATTATTTCCCCACCATTAAGTTGCACAAAGATCTCTGCCGGTAAAATCTTCACCATGAACGTAAGTGGAGCTGCCATGACGAATGGGCAGGGCAGGGAGGGTGGCACCAGCCATTGCACCAGAGCCAGATGCCACTACTCCTTTGCTCCTCAACCACCCAGGGAAGCAGAGGTCTCACACCTGCAAGTGGTAGAAGAGGAACTTGACCTCCCCGCCCTACTCCTCGTGTGAGCTCTTTCGGCTACACTGTGCTGCCCCTGAACCCTGCCAGCAGAGATACCTCCCAGTGTGCCCTTTGCGCCGTGCTGGCCACAGGACCCACTAGTTCATGTTGAAGGACTCAGCAGAGAGGGAAGCATTACTGCTAACAAGATGTGTGCCCTTTCAAAGCTGCTGGTAGAGGTGTTGGCATGAGGGAAAAGGACATGTCCTAGGGGATGTGGACCTGAAAGTCCTGTTCACACCCTGGGCTGCCACTGTGCACAGCAGGGCCAGCACAGGCCTGTCAAAGCCACAGTGCCCACTCCACCCCTTGTATAGAAACACACGGAAATGGGTTATACAGCATAGACACCGAACCTTCCACCACATTTAACATTCTAACAGGTCCTACTGAATCCACTTTTAAAACTTACATGTGACTATTATAACAAAAACTTCATTCTTTTGTGAACACAAGACCCATGTGTTTGAAACTTCTTTTCCTTTGTTCTTTGACAAAAATCTGAGTTTCGTAGTTGGAGATCACGAAAGGAAGAATAACAGGAAGTGAAGAGAAAATAACTTCGCTGCTCTGGGAGGTGTTCAAACAGAGGAGGGATCTCCCACAGAAATATCTACTGTGAAGGGCTAACAACAAGTACTCGATTGGTTTATGTAAAATATTATAAAAGTTCTCGAGAACTGCCCTGGCCAGAGTAGCTCAGTTGGATGGGCACTGTCCCAATACACCAAGGTTGCAGGTTCGATCCCCGGTCAGGGCACATGCAAGAATCAACCAGTGAGAACATCAATAAGTGGAACAACAAGTCGATGTTTATCTCTCTCTCCCTTTTCTCTCTCTCTAAAATCAATACATTAAAAAAGAAACAAGAAACAGCCCTGGCCAGTTTGGCTCAGCGGTTAGAGCATTGGCCCATGGTCCAGAGAACCCGGGTTCAGTTCCCACTAAGGGCATGTACCTCGGTTGCAGTTTGTCCCCAGCCCTGGCTGGGTCGTGCAGGAGGCAGCCACTTGATGTGTCCCTCTCACATCGATGTTTCTCTCTCTCTCTCTCTCTCTCTCTCTCTCTCTCCTCTTCTCTCCTTCCCACTCTATCTGAACAAAAAAACGGAAAAATGTCTTCAAGGATAAGAAAAAAAGGAAACAGAACAATCTTTTCAATCAGGACAAACTGAGCTTAAACATTGGACATGGGAAAAAACAATTTCTTTATGAAGTGAAAGGAAAAACAAAAAATAATGATTTCCCCCTTATATTTTCTAATTTTTAAAAAAGCTTTTAGCAAAGTACCTTTTGCTCAAAGTTCAAACTTAATTCTCATGGTTGGCTAAAATGATTCCCCAAATACACAGTAAGGAAATCAGTGTACTGGTTAGGTGGGTGCATTCCCTGAAGATCAAGTCTGCCAATCACCCCCTGTCCAGTACTGCTCACGTCCGCCCCCATATTACTTACCTCTCCAAATCCACCTTTTCCTAGAACTCTGTAATGTCTAAATGTTTTCTTTGTTACTGGTTGCCTAAATAATAGAAAAAAAAGTTTCAGGTCTCACATCACATTGTTTTTAAAACAGAAGCCTAGGACAACCTGTCCCTTCCTCGATGTGGAGGTGGGGGGGGGGCTGTCTATCTTTCAAACAAAACTTTTTTTCCCTTAAAAAATTAAAAATAAAAAAAAAATAAAACAGAGCATCCTCCCCAGCTCTTGTTCTAGGCTTACCTATGGAACCACACTGGTCAAAGGGAGTGCCCAGGACAGAGAGCCCGTGTACAGGGACTGTGGCTCCTTCCAGGGGGACAGCTCTCAACCGCACTCGGCAACAAGCACACAGAACATTTCAGATTTACTGAGAACTGATGGCAGATGCAGAAGGGTCCCGTTATCGTTACTAACGAAAGACAATTCTGCAACCAGCCTGCACTGTGAAGTGTTTGTCTTCTCAGCACCCGCTTTGGGCTGAGGAAAAGGACGTGTCTACAGAATGCTGTTCTTTCAAAAACTGGACATCTCAATCCACACGCGTGAACTAGAACTGGGGATGTGGTCAATCAGTAACACCTGTGATCACACCGCCACCGGCAGCAGCTAACACCCGTGAGCACACTCTGTGCACAGGGCTAGGAATGCTAAGCAGTTCACATTTTCTCAGGCCACCGGCAGTCCAGTGGGGTGGACCCTCAGTGCCTCTGTCTACAGAGCAAGGACCTGACACTTAGAAGGACTGTCACTGCCTGAGGCCACACAGCTGCGGGAGGCTGAGCACAGCCCGAGACCTACAAATTGTATTTCTGTGACCCTAAGACATGTTTCATTTTCTAACAACTGCACCAACATGGTTAACTACCCTTTAAAAAGTCAAACAGCCCTGGCTGGTTTGGCTCAGCAGTTAGAGCGTCAGCCTGCGATCCAGAGAGACCCGGGTTCGGTTTCCACTAAGGGCGCATACGTTTGCACTTTGTCCCCGGCCCTGGTTGGTCGTGCGGGTGGCAGCCACTCGATACGTCCCTTTCACGTCGATGTTTTTTTCTCTCTCTCTTCCTCTCTCTCCCTCCCACTCTATCTGAACAAAAAATGGAAAAATGTCTTCGGGTGAGGATAAAAAAATTAAAAAAAAAAAAAAAGAGTCAGGCCCTGGCCGGTTTGGCTCAGCGGTTAGAGCATCAGCCTGTGGTCCCGAGAGACCTGGGTTCGGTTCCCGCTAAGGACACGTACCTCGGTTGTAGTTTGTCCCTGGCCCTGGTTGGGTTGTATGTGTCCCTTTCACGTCGATGTTTCTCTCTCTCTCTCCCTCCCACTCTATCTGAACAAAATATCAAAAAATGTCCTCAGGTGAGGATAAAAAAAAAAGATTAAAAAAAAAAAAAGTCAGAACAAAGTCAACTGAATGAGAAGGAACTAATAACACGTTAATAATTTTTGTACAAAAATACCGCATACAAGGCAAGATTTTCAATAGTATTTTCACAGATGAAAAAGAATACACCAATCAGGGTGCACTATCAGAAGTTACTGTTGTTTTCATTGAATCTTAAATTAGAACATACCTTTCCAGCCATTTCCACTGTAAAAATCGAGAAAAATATGTGCTTTCTTGATATTCTTCAAATGGCTTTCCAGTTAAATAGGAATGGACAGCTCTAGAAAAAGAGTACATGCAGTTACACGCCTGTGTTCACCACGGGATGAAAACCACTGTGCTGGTGCACTGGGGAGCCCTGGACGTGGGAAAGGGAACCACCCCACGCTATTCACTGTATTGGATGCCACCAGCTTCTAATGCTATCAGTAAAAATACAAAGGCCAAAACTCAAAAGAAATTAAATCAGCTTACCCTCCCAAAGTCAGAGGTTCTTTTTATGTATATCGACATCACAGAAATAAATATTTGATAAAAACAATTTACTGGTAAAAAGACAATAGTTTAAAATATATACAAAGTGTATGTGTGTATGTGTGCACACATGTGCACACACATGTATATTTCAGGGAATGTAAACATTTTGTAAATAAAATGGAGTGAGTGTCAAACTGATAACAGTCACCAGGCAGAAAATGTTAGTATGTGATACAACTCTTTTTTACCACTGAAAATAAAGCATTCAATAAATTATTTTATGTTACACATTTCAAATTGCCTCTTAGGTCTTACTTGTGACTTGATTACAGAAGTAGTAAAGTTCTTACTGTGGAGTAGATAAAGGACAGATGTAGCTGTCCTCTGGAACAGCTCATTTGTTATTAAGCATCTACTGAGTAGTCTGCAAGCATGTGCCAGGTGCTGGCGGAAGCACATGTTCTGAAGGCCCTACCAGTTCCGAGATCCTTTCGGCGTGTTCGATGACAAAACTGTATTTATAACACTACTCAGGCCTGGCTGGTGTGGCTCAGTGGTTGAGTGTCGACCCTGCACCAAGAGGTCACCAGTTTGATTCACAGCAGGGCACATGCCCAGGTGGTGGGCCTGATCCCCAGTGGGGGGCATGCAGGAAGCAGCGAATCAATGTTCTCTCTCATCGATGTTTCTATCTCTCCCTTCCTCTCTCTCTAACAATCCATTAATATCCTCAGATGAGGAATTAAAAAAAGAAAAAAAGAAAACACATCCTGGCTAGTGTGGCTTAGTTGGTTGGGCATCATTCCATGGACTGAGAGGTCCTGGTTTGATTCCTGGTCAGGGCACATGCCCAGGTTGTGGGCTTAATCCCCAGTAGGGGGCATGCAGGAGGTGGCCGATTGGTGTTTCTCTCTCATTGATGTTTCTGTCTCTTTCTCTCCCTTCCTCTCTCTCTGAAATCAATGAAACAGCTCTCTCCAGTTGCTCAGTGGTTAGAGCATAGACCTGCAATCCAGAGAGACCCAGGTTCAGTTCCTGCTAAGGGTGCGTACCTCAGCTGCAATTTGACCCCAGCCCTGGTTGGTCGTGCAGGTGGCAGCCACTCGATGTGTCTCTTTCACATCGATATTTCTCTCTCTCTCTCTCTTCCTCTCTTTCCTTCCCACTCTATCTGAACAAAAAATGTCCTCGGGTAAGGATAAAAAAATAAATAAATAAAATCAATAAAACATTTTAAAAACTGTAACACACTACACAGCAAAAGAAACAACAATCAAAATGGAAAGGGAACCCACTGTACGGGAGAGCATAATTGCCAATGATGTATCAGATAAGGAGTTAATTTCCAAAATATATGGAGTACTCATATGACTCAACAAAAGGAAGACAAAGAACCCAATTGAAAAATGGGCAGAGGACCTAAAGAGACACTTCTCCAAACAGGACATACAAATGGCCAAGAGACATATAAAAAAATGCTCAACATCACTAATCATCAGAGAGATGTGAGGTATCACCTCACACCTGTCAGAATGGCCGCCATCAACAAATCATCAAACAACAAGTGCTGGAGAGGGTGTGGAGAAAAGGGGACTCTAGTACACTGCTGGTGGGAATGCAGACTGGAGAAGCCACTATGGAAAACAGTATGATGTTATCTCAATAAGTTAAAAATTGAACTGCCAAATGACCCAGTCACCCAGTGTTCCCACTTCTAGGAATATACCCTAAGAAGCCTGAAACACCAATCAGAAAGAAGATATGTACCCCTATGTTCATAGCAGCACTATTTACAATAGCTAAGATCTGGAAACAGCCCAAGTGTTCATCAATAGATGAGTGGATAAAAAAAGCTGTGGTAGCCCTGGCCGGTTTGGCTCAGCGGTTAGAGCGTCGGCCTGCGGTCCTGAGAGACCTAGGTTCGGTTCCCGCTAAGAGCGCGTACCTCGGCTGCAGTTTGTCCCCGGCCCTGGTCAGTTGTGTGGGTGGCAGCCACTCGATGTGTTCCTTTCACATCGATGTTTCTCTCTCTCTCTCTTCCTCTCTCTCCCTCCCACTCTACCTGAACAAAAAATGGAAAAATGTCCTCGGGTGAGGATAAAAAAAAAAAAGCTGTGGTACATTTATGCAATGGAATACTATGCAGCTGTAAGAAAGAAAGATCTCTTATCCTTTGAGATGACATAGAGGGACCTGGAGAGTATTATGCTAAGTGAAACAAGCCAAGCAGAGAAAGACAAATATCACATGATCTCACTTATTTGTGGAATATAATGAACAAAACAAACTGATGAACAAAATAGACCCAGAGTCACAGAAGTAGGGTACAGACTGACAATTCTCAGAAGAGGGGGTGGGGGGAAGGGAAGGGATAAACCACAGAACTTATATGCATGTATGTGTAACCATGGACATAGACAACAAACCTGGGGATGGCGGTGGTGGGAGCGGATGGGGAGGAAGGTGTCAATGGGGGAAAAGGAGAAACATTGTAACAAAAATAAATTAATTTTAAAAAATCAACAACGGCTCTGGCCGGTTTGGCTCAGCGGTTAGAGCGTCAGCCTGCGGTCCGGAGAGACCCGGGTTCGGTTCCCGCTAAGGGCACGTACCTCGGTTGCAGTTTGTCCCTGGCCCTGGTTGGTCGTGCGGGTGGCAGCCACTCGATGTGTCCCTTCACGTCGATGTTTCTCTCTCTCTCTCTTCCTCTCTCTCCCTCCCACTCTATCTGAACAAAAAATGTCCTCGGGTGAGGATAAAAAAAAAAAAAAAAAAAAAAGAATAAGCTGTTTCACACTCACAACTGTAAACCTACTTCTGCCACACACTGCATTTTATTTGTGTATTTCAGTCTATAAATCAATGGCCACCACAGACCTACCAGTGGATCTCAATTTCACCTCCTCCTACTCCTTACCTCAAAACAACAGACTTCTGCACTGCTCCGGGTGGGAAATAACCCTACTGCACACATTTCAAAAACCAGGACATTTGCCCTGGCTGGTTTGGCTCAGCAGTTACAGCATCGGCCCACAGACCAATGAGTTGTGGGTTCAATTTCAGTCAAGGGCACGTACATTGGTTGTGGTTTGTCCCCGGCCCTGGTTGAGTTGTACGGGAGGCAACCAATCTATGTGTCTCTCTCATGTCAATGTTTCTCTCTCTCTCTCTCTCTCTCTCTCTCTTTCTCTCCCCCCTTCTTACTCTATCTGAAGATAAATGGAAAAAAGTATCCTTAGGTGAGGATTAAAAACAAAAACAAAAACAAAACAGGACATAAAAAATTGCACCATTTCAGCACAGGCTTTCCATACAGCCCCCAAGGTGGTCCCGCCCACCCCCACCCCATGCATGCCGACTGCCACCACAGCTGCCTGTGGAAAGCAGCAGGGGGCATCAAGGGGTCCCTCGTGTACACGCTGCAGCATCAGTATTCTAGGATCCAAATGAGAAACCAAGGTTGGGGGGTAAAGGCTGTTAACAGTGCAGAAATGAGACAAAGTAATAGAAAACGTTGCAACTACTAGTTGCTAAATCGACAACAAATGACAGACAGTAAGTGTCTAGAGAGTAAATTTCAGTCATCAGTTGAATGAACTAATCAAAACAGAGAGCCAAGTATCAAAACTTATTTAAAGATTAGCAGCTTTAGGTTCCTGTCTTAAAAGGTGCACGGGGGGGGCAGAATTGTTGATCAGTCTGATAGAGGCATGTACATCAGCCCATATTTTCCAACAACAGGGCAGAAGTCAAAAACCTTTGCTTAATAAGAGTTAAAAATGCAAACAAATCTAGTGAACAATAGATGTCTCTTAAATCAAATTGGCTGATGAATGTCTTAGCTTGTTTGGGCTGCTATAACAAAAATACCAATATGTCCATTCAAGTTTTATTGGTTTCTTCTTAAAACCGGGGGAAGGAGCCTTTGTGCATGAAGAAATTCACCACAGAGTTACTTACGCTACTGAAAAATGACAAAAGGGGCACTGATTATGTAAATTATAACATGATAAAATACCGTCTTTACAACTGATGTCTGCAAATGTTTTAAAATAGATTAATTTTTTTCTATATTGTAAGATAAAAATGAGAAGAGTGCAATAGGATTTAAATAGGCATGGTGATAATCATGTCTAACATATTTGGAAGATGATTATCTAAAAGTAATTCTTCTTTCTACATTTTTTTTCCAAATTTTCTTTTTTTTCCTTCTTTTTTTTTTTAATCCTCACCCAAGGCCATTTTTGCATTTATCTTCAGATAAAGCGGGAGGGAGAGAGGGAGGAAGAGAGAGAGAGAGAAACATGGACATGAAAGAGACACATCGATTGGTTGCTACCCACACAACCCCAACTGGGGCTGAGGACAAACTGCAACAGAGATACGTATGTACCCTTAGTGGGAATTGAACCCGAGTGTTCCCGGTCCGCAGGCCAACGCTCTAACCGGCCAGGGCTATTTTCCAAATTTTCTTAAATGAAGATGTTACTTTACTAATGAAAAAAAATTAACTTATTTGGGGGAAAAAAGCATCTAGTGAACAAGATATATCAATGAAGAATCCTAAGGCTACAACAGGTGTGCAAACAGTAATTGTAAAAAAAGAAAAGATGCTCTCTTAGAGCTGAAAAAACAAATCATGAAAAGATAAATGTAATTACTAGGTAAGTTAAATAACATCAACTGCTAAAAATCTGAATCCCAAACAACAAAGTCAACTAGAACCCGGTGACAAGAGGCACAGACCCACCTGCAGGAAAAGACCCTCAGGAGCAAAGAGGGACGGGTCTGTTCCTCATGGCTGTGTGAGCGTGCTCAGCTCTGTCTCTTTTATTCCGTGTGCACTTTCTCCCCAGTTTAAGGATGGAGACTTTGGTATTCCTGCCATATTTGTTCTTGCTTTTTGAAAAAGAAACTAGTGATGATGTATGTTATGGACTGAATGTCTGTGTCCCTACAAAGTCCTATGTTAGAATCTAATCCCCAAGGTGGTGGAGATAGGAGGTGGGGCCTCTGGGAGGCGATCAGATCAAGAGGGTGAACCCCCAGTGATGGGATGAGTGCACTTATGAGATCAGCCCTGGCAGGTTTGACTCAGTGTTTATTTATTTATTTATTTTTTTATCCTCACCTGAGGACATTTTTGCATTTATCTTCAGATAGAGCAGGAGGCAGACAGTGGAGAAGAGAGAGAGCGAGAAACATCAATGTGAGAGAGATACACCAAGTGGTTGCCACCCACGCAACCCCAACTGGGGCCGGGGCCAAACTGCAACCGAGGTACGTGCCCTTAGCAGGAACCGAATGCGGGATTCTCCGGTCCACAGGCTGACGCTCTAACCGCTGAGCAAAACCGGCCAGGGCTTGACTCAGTGTTTAGAGTGACAGCCCATGGACCAAAGAACGGCAGGTTTGATTCCAGTCAAGGGCATGTACCTCGGTTGCAGGTTTGATCCTCAGCCCTGGTTGGGGTCGTGTGGGAGGCAACCAATCAGTGTGTCTCTCTTACATCAATGTTTTTCTCTCTCTCTCCCTTTCTCTCCCTCCTTCCACTCTATCTGAAAATCAATGGACAAATATCCTCAGGTGAGGATTTAAAAAAATGAAGAGGCCAGAGGGCTAGTTCACTCTCTTCCCACCAAGTGGGGACACACCGAGAAGGTGGTCACCACCAGAACCCAACCAGGCCCGCCTGACCTTGGGCATCTAGCCTCCAGAACTGTGAGAAATGAAGGTCAGTCTGTGGCACTTTGCAGCCCAAATGGACGAAGACATTGTGCTTCCAGGAGTGTCCATGAAAAGCCAATGAGACAGCCTGGCTTGCCCAAGGTGAAGTGGTCCCAGAGTTCCTGTGGGCCGTGGCTATCCCTGCCTGTCCCTGTGACATCATTTGGCCAGGCTGTGTGTGAAGCCTGCGCTCCTCTTCTGTCTCTACGGTCTCTTCTGTAGGTGGACCAGACCTTCCGTCCAGGATATCATCACGGTGGCCACGTCCTGTCCCTTGTCACCCCCGGAAACATGGATGGTGCAGTGCTGCTGCACAGGAAGCAGCAGCCCAGCTGCTGGACATGCCGTCAGGCAGACTTCTCAGCATAGCAGGGACAGGCCTGTTGGCGGCACATGCTGTCTCAAGCCTGGGAACAGCTTCTCCACAAATGCTGATCTGTGCACCACAGAACCACAATCTTTTTTTTTTAATCCTCACCCAAGGACATTTTTGCATTTATCTTCAGATAGAGTGGGAGGGAAAAAGGGAGGAAGACAGAGGGAGAAACATTGATGTGAGAGAGACACAGTGAGTGGTTGCCACCTACACGACCCCAACCGGGGCCAGGGACAAACTGCAACTGAGGTACATGTCCTTAGTGGGAACCGAACCCGGGACTCTCTGGTCCGCAGGCTGAGCCAAACTGGCCAGGGCCAGAACCACAATCTTAGCCAGTAACAACATTTAGTTCCTCTGAAATTCCAAATCACAAAGGAATGCTTTAGGCTACACAAAGTGACTGTCCAGTATGTGCCACTGTTCTTCAAGGCGCAAACACCCACCATGGAAAGGGAGAGAAAGGCTGAGCCTAGACTCCAGTGTCACGCAGGCCTAAGCGCGCACGTGGACGTGGTCATCACACCGACCCCACGAGACACCACCACTAGGATCTGACAGGGTTGAGTGCTCTGACTTGTGCCCACAAGTGAACATAAAAGTTAGAGAAATGGAAAACACATCTAAAGTAACAAATTAAAAAATAATTTTCTGATTTTTTTTCTAGTACTTTCTGCAAAATGAAAATAGAACAGAAAAGTGATTAGTTTTAAAACTGGGATCTTTGCAAAAGGTGCGTGCAAACCTGGAACCTGGAATGTCACCCTACTTGGCACCTGGGACTCTGCAGGTGACTGAATTCAGAATCCTGAGATGGGAGGTGGACTGTCCAGCTGGACCCTAAGTGTCATCACACATGTCCTTATGAAAGAGGCAGAGGGCAGTCTGGACACGCAGAACTAAAAAGACTGAAGGTTACATGTGGATAGACTGCAGTTTCTACACTGCTGGCTCTGAAGGTGGAGGGAGGGACAGGAGCTAAGGAATGTGGCTCTTGAAACTAGAAACAGCCAGGAAATGGATTCTCCCCTAGACCTTCAAGAGGGGCACGGCCCTTCTGACACTTGGTATCTGCCCAGGGACATGGCCTTCAGACTTCTCACCTCCAGAACTGTAAGAGAATACATGTGTGTTGTAATACAGATTTCTCTGTCATTCCACTTGGTTATAAGCTCCCTAAGGGTAATGGGCCAAGTCACTGTTGCTTATTTTATTCCCAGAACCTAGCTCAATGACAGGCACATAGTAGGTGCTTAATGTTTTGCAAAATGAGTAAATAATAGGCCAAGGCTTTTGAAATTATATTTTCTTAAGGTACAGAAGAATGGAACCTCAACCCAGCAGGTTTTATTTTGTTTGGTTCTCTGCTATAACCTCGACCCACAGAAGGAAGCTATAATGGTTGAAATGCATTTCCCAAAGAGATCTGTCATAACCCTGACCTGTAAATGGAACATACGTGGAAAGAGAGCCAGTTAGTTAAGATGAGGTCATATGGGCCCTGCTCCAATAGGACTGGCGTCCCTATAGAGGAGGAACACAGAGTTGAGGCACACAGAAGATGGCCATGTGACCACAGAGGCAGACTGATGCTGCAGCTGCAAGCCAGGAACGCTGTGGACCCCCAGCCAGCACCAGGAGTTGTGAGAGGCAGGAAGGACCCTCTCCAGAGTTTCAAGAGAACATGACCCTGATGACTCATTGACGTTAGACATACAGCTTGCAGAACTGGGGGACCATACATTTCTGGTGTTTTCCATCCCCTGGTTTGCTGTGCTTTGTTCCCTAGGAAACCAACACTGTTCCTGACAGAGCAGGCTCTCAACAATCATCCGTGGAATGAGGGAGTGTCACCCCAATATCCTGCATAAATATACAAAAGACTACCTGGTTGGGCCAGATCACTTCAGAAACCATTCTTTCTTCCTATGTACTTAAGGAAAATGCTCTGACTTAGAATTTTCCTGTCCATATTGCAAAGGTCTGGAGAAAAGATATTTTCAGCAAGTGCCTAAGTCTAAAAAAAAAAACAAGAAACATTTTATGGGCCCTGATTAGTGCAACTTAGTTGCTTGGAGTGTCATCTCATACACAGAAAAGTAGAAGGTTCAATTCCCAGTTAGGGAGCATGTGGGACACGACCGATCAATGTTTCTTTCCCTCTCTCCCTTCCTCTCTCTCTAAAATTGATTTTAAAAACCCCACACATTTTACAAAAATCTTTTCATCCTAGACACAAGCATTCTGGAAGGCTGAGCACAGAGGGCCAGGTGACAGCAAAGCAAAGCTAGTAGCCTGGTTCTCTAATGTGACCTGCCTCAGTGTGTCACCTGTGCATATGTAACAGTTCTTCTTCTGCCTCTTCCTAGTACACGTGGCCGTTTTAACCGGAAAAGAATTCCAATAAGAACTTGTCTCATGCCCTGGCCTGTTGCACATTGGTTAGAGCGTTGGCCCATGGACCAATGAATTGTGGGTTTGATTACAGTCAAGGGTATGTACCCCTGTTGCAGTTCATCCCCAGCCCTGGTCAGGGTCATGGGGGAGGTAACCAGTCAATGTGTCCCTCTCACATCGATGCCCTCCCCCGCCTCTCTCTCTCTTTCTCCCTCCCTCCCTCCCACTCTATTTGAAGATAAATATCCTTGGGTGAAGATAAATATCCTTGGGTGAAGATTAAAAAAAAAGAACTTGTCTCTTTGAAACCTCCTGCAGGCCCCATCTCAGAGTGAGCCACAGACGATGGGCAGGGTGGGCATGACCCCATTACCTGGTACATTCCTGGAAGGCTTCTTTGGAGGGGTGGTTCTTCTGTTGCAACCTGCACCTTTTCACAACATTGGGAGGTATCTGTGGCAAAGGGGCTGCTGAGGCCTTTACAGCACAAACCAAAGATATGACAATTAGTGATTTCACAACTTAGCAATTGTGAGCTATAACTAACAGTTATTGTAAAAAATGAAAACACAAAGTACATGAGATAACAAGTCAAAGTGCCACCTTTAATCTGCCACAGTCTCATCCCAGGGTTCAGAGTGTTACCTTTCCCCAGTATATCAAAATAGAGTGGGAGCTGCCCTGGTCGGTTTGGCTCAGTAGTAGAGTGTTGATCTGAGAACCAATGAGTTACGGGTTCAATACCGGCCAAGGGCATGTATCTGGGTTTCGGTTTTTCCCCGGCCCTGGTTGGGGTTGTGCAGGAGGCAACCGGTCAATGTGTCCCTCTCACATTGATGTTTCTCTCTCTCTCCATTTCTCTCCCTTTCTCTCCCTCTTTCTCCCTCCCACTCTATCTGAAGAGAAATGGAAAAATATCTTTGGGTGAGGATTAAAAAAAAGAGTGGGAGCAGGGTCACAGTGTACCCCGTGTTCACAGCATTCAAAAGTGGGCACAACCCAAGTGTCCATCAACACATGGATGGATAAACAAAATGTGGTCCATTCATTCAAAGGATTATTATTCAGCCTTAAAATGGAAGGGAGCCTGGCTGGTTTGGTTCAGTGGTTAGAGTGCCAGCCCTCAGACTGCAGGGTTGAGGGTTCGATTCCTGGTCAAGGGCATGTACCTGGGTTGTAGGTTTGATCCCCAGCCCTGGTTGGGATCGTGCAGAAGACAATCAATCGATGTATTTCTCCCTTTCCCTCCCTCCCTCTCTCCTTCTCCCTGTCTCTTTCTCTCTCTCTTCCTCCCTCGCTCCCTTCCTTCCATTCTATCTAAAAATCAATGGAAAAATATCCTCAGGTGAGGATTAACTAAAAAATGAAATAATACGGGGCTGTCTTAATTGTTGAATTTAAGAGTCCTTTCTGCCCTGGCCGGTTTGGCTCAGCGGTTAGAGCGTCGGCCTGCAGTACAGAGAGACCGGGGTTCGGTTCCCGCTAAGGGCGCGTACCTCGGTTGCAGTTTGTCCCCGGCCCTGGTTGGTTGTGCGGGTAGCAACCACTCGATGTGTCCCTTCACATCGATGTTTCTCTCTCTCTCCCTGTTCCTCTCTCTCCCTCCCGCTCTGTCTGAACAAAAAATGCAGAAATGTCCTCGGGTGAGGATAAAAAAAAAAAAGAGTCCTTTCTGTAGTCTGGACACCAGACCCTAAGTAGAGACTGGCTTTGTAGATACTTTTTCCCATTCTATAGGCTATCTTTTCACTTTCCTTACAGTGCTCTTAGAAGCACAAAGTTTTTAATTTTGATTAAGTCCAGTTTATGTATGTATGTATGTAGGCTGCTGTACTTTTGATGTCCTAAGAAACCACTGTCTAAACCAAGGTCATAAAGATCTATACCTAAGAATTTTACACCTAACATTTACACCTTACAGATCTCCTTTGAGAGTCACGGGTGTAGCTCTCGCTTACATTTAAGTGTTCGATCCATCTGGAATTATGTTTTGTATATAGTGTGAGGTAAGGGCCCAACTCCATCTTTCTGCATGTAGATGTCCAGTTGTCCCAGCACCGTTCACTGAAAGGTGATGCTTTCCCCGCTGTCCTGGTACCTGGCTGTAAGGCAGCTGGCTGCAAATGTAGACGTTGGTTTCTGCACTCTCGGTTCCATCCCACTGACCTATACAACTGTCCTTATGCCAGGACCATATGGTTTCTAAGATAAATTATTCGTTTCTACAGAAAGGGGAGCTAAGATTTTGCTCAGGATTATAATGAATCTAGAGATCAATTTGGGTATTATTATCATCTTAACAATATCAAGTCTTCTAATCCATGAACATGGAATGTCTTTCTATTTAAGTTCTTTAATTTCTTTCGATGATGTTTTCAAGTTTTTCAGTGTATAAAAGTCTTGCACTTCTCTTGTTACACTCACTCCTATTTTATTCTTCTTGATGCTACTGTAAATGGAACTGCTTTCTCAATTTCATCTTGGGATTTTAATTGCTAGTGTACAGAAATACAATTAAAGTGTGCGTGGTGATCTGGTACCCTGTAACTCTGATGGACTCATTTATCAGCTCTAGTCGTTTTCCCTCCTGATGTATGTGTGGACACCTTAGGGTTTTCTACATACAAGTGCTATGGTCTGCATGTGTCCCCTCAAAATTCACAGGTTGAAATCCTACCCCTAAAGTGACAATATTAGGATGTAGGGCCTTTGGGAGGTGCTTAGATCAAGAAGAGGGAGTCCTCACGAATGGGACTAGTGCCTGAATAGAAGAGGCTCTAGAGACCTCCCCCATCTCTTTCACATGTGAGGACACAGCGAGAAGGTGCCAGCTCTGAAGTAGGGAGAGAAACATTTATTAGAAATGAAAGATTTTAACGTAGTTGCTACATTTATCCAATTAAATAAAAATGGCCCTGCATTCTAATTATTTAAGTAAGTTATTTACAAATCTTTATATCTGAAAAACAAAACGCACCTCCTTAATGAAGAATGTGTCTAAGATTAATATTCCACTCTCTCTTCGGTCCTCATCGACAGCGACTTCATATTTTTCCTGATTGTAGAAACGACAGAAAAAAAAAATGTTAGTTAACTACTTCACTGACTTCATGATGTTTCAAATTCTCTGACTTATGGAAGAACCTGAGAGCAACTCTACTGTTTCAGTGTCTCCCCTGATAACTAAGAGGGGGAAGTCTGGTTTTTATTTTTAATTTTTTTGTAGACAGAAGAAGGGAGGGATAGAAACATCGATGAGAGAGAACATTGATTGCCTGCTTCCTGCATGCCCCCCCCGGGGATTGGGCCCACAACCTGGGCATGTGCCCTGACTGGGAACTGAATCGGCAACCTCTTAGTGCAAGGGTCAATGCTCAACCACTGAGCCACACTGGCCGGGCTATTTTTAAATTTTTTAAAATCCTCACTCAAGGATATTTTTCTATTTATCATCAGATAGAATAGAAGGGAGGGAGAGAGAGGGAGTCATCTATGTGAGAGAGACACATCAACTGGCTGCTTCCTGCACAACCCACCAGGGCCAGGGACGAATCGCAACCGAGGTATATGCCCTTGACCAGAATCAAACCTAAGACCCTTCAATCCGCAGGCCAACGTTCTCTGGACCGCAGGCCTACGCTCTAACCACTGAGCCAAACCGACCAGGGCAAAAAGGCCACAGGAAGTTATTGGATTCTTTTTTGTGTGTGTGTGTGGTACATGCTCCTAGCAGGAACCGAACCCGGGACTCTCTGGTCTGCAGGCTAACGCTCAACCGCTGAGCCAAACTGGCCACAGGCCAACGTTCTAACCACTGAGTCAAACCAGCCAGGACTGAACTCTGGTTTTAAGGGTTAATAATGTAGCACAGCAACACATTCCATGATGCTTTGTCTTATATTTTCAGCCATTAAATGTGGCCAAATAAAATAAGCAATCAGGCTGTTCTAGACACTTAGAAACCTGAGTGCAGCATTCCCAGGGAATCAGAGTCATCCACACACAGGTGTCAGGTGAGAGACCACAGAGTGGACAGCAATACACAGACCAGAACAAAAGCAGAACCTGATCGATACCTAAACATCTATAAAGGATAGGCAAATAGGGAGAGAAAAAGAAAACCAGGAAAGAGACCACAAAAGCCTAGATAAGGGAATTTCTAGAAGAGGCTACTCAATAACGTCAACAGACACGGAGATAGGCACGAGGAGGGCTCGAGGAAGCTCTGGGTTCTGCAGGCAGGGGACCTTAGAAAGGTACTGAAGCTAACGCCAGCTGGAGTTGAAGAGGGAAGAGAGAAACTGAACACCAAAGGAAGCTGATCTACTGAACACATTAAAAGTGCGCAAAGTGCCCTGGCCAGTTTGGCTCAGTGGTTAAAGTGTCGGCCTGCGGTCCGGAGAGACCTGGGTTCGGTTCCCGCTAAGGGCACGTACTTCGGTTGCAGTTTGTCCCCGGCCCTGGTTGGTCGTGCGGGTGGCAGCCACTCGATGTGTCCCTTCCCGTCGATGTTTCTCTCTCTTTCTCCCTTCCTCTCTCTCCCTCCCACTCTATCTGTACAAAAAATGGAAAAATATCCTCGGGTGAGAATAAAAAAAAAAAAAGTGCGCAAAGTGAAAGTCCTTGTAGGGGAATCCAACCTCATACTTCTTTCTGTCCCCTTCATAGGGGCCATGGCCATGGCCACCAGGCTGACGACCTGGTCAGAGCCAACTTCAAGTTCTGTGCTCAAGGCACTACGCTCACCATGACTAGTAACTAGCACACTGTTTTCCTAAAGAACTTTTGAACTTAAGTCCTGGGAGTTCTGGATACTTGCCATATGGCACCAATTACTGGAGAAGTAAGTGCTGCAATTTTGTGCCAGATTTCTGATGGGCCACCTGGCAGGCAGCTGCCCAGCTATTCAAACACAGACGCAGCTGTCGCTGTGATAGTGAGCACAGATGCGATTCAAGTGTACATCAGCCGACTTCAACAAGGGAGACTGTCCCAGAAAACCCGAGCGGGCCTGACTCAGTCCACTGAAAGGCCTTAAAAGCAGAGCAAAGTCTTCCTCAAAGAAATTTCTGCCTAAGAACAGCAACTTCACCCCATTCCTGGAAAGTGCCACCCTGACCTTCCTGACAGCCTGTCTTACAGACTTCATACCGTCCTAGCCAGACCTCACAGCCATGTAAGCCAATTCCTTTTAGTAAACTCTTAATATCTACCTCCTAATGATTGTGTTCCTTTCATTGACCCCTGACTGACACAGATGTCATAGGTCCCTAAATTCTTAAAACACAGCAGCTTGGCACGTACAACCCAATGCATTAGACACATCACATCCACCCGAAACTGAGTTGGCATGTCACACTCCATCAGAGTTCTATCTTTAAAAATAGCTGCCTCTGCCCTGCTGGTGTGGCTCAGTGGCTGAGTGTTGACCCTGCACTGAGAGGTCGCCAGTTTGATTCCCAGTCAGGGCACATGCCCAGGTTGTGGGCCCAATCCCCATGGAAGGTCATGCAGGAGGTGGCCAATCAATGTTTTCTCTCATTACTGTTTCTATCTCTTTCCCACTCTCCCTTCCTCTCTCTAAAATCAATAAAGAAAAAGAGAGGAAGGAAGGAAGGAAGCCGCCTCCCTTCCAAGCCTTGTCTAATTCCAGTACAGGTGCCAGGAAGAAAAGGGCGGGGGAGCCCCAGGGAGCAGAGAGCAAACAACAAAATAGGCAAGAACCTTAAATGGTTTTCTGAAAGAATACATTATTAACCTTTGTTTTTAAAAAGTTAAGTCAGCCCTGGCTGGTTTGGCTCAGCAGTTAGAGCATCGGCCCGCGGACCAGAGAGTCCAGGGTTCGGTTCCTGCTAAGGGCACGCACCTTGGTTGCAGTTTGTCCCCGGCCCCTGTTGGGGTCATGTGGGTGGCAACCACTTGATGTGTCTCTCTCACATCAATGTTTCTCTCTCTGTCTCCCTCCCTCTCTCCCTCCCGCTCTATCTGAAGATAAATGAGAAAATGTCCTCGGGTGAGGATAAATAAATAAATAAATAAAAAGCTATGTCAGAGAAAGAGTGAATAAATCCTCTGGTGGTAAAAGAGAGCACTATGCATATAAAGAGTGGCCGATCCACATTTGCTAGTCCACTCAGGACAGGACAGGTGGGCAGAGGAAGTGCCATGAGCTTGGTAAGAGAGGTTTTCTGTTACAGCCTACCAATTTTCTTTTTTTTAAGGTTTTTTAAAAAATTGTTTTTCTTTATTGATTTTTAGAAAGAGAGGAAGGGCCCTGGCTGGTTTGGCTCAGCGGTTAGAGCGTCCACCTGCGGTCCGGAGAGGCCCGGGTTCGGTTCCCGCTAAGGGCACGTACCTCGGTTGCAGTTTGTCCCCGGCCCTGGTTGGTCGTGCGGGTGGCAGCCACTCGATGTGTCTGTCCCTTTCACATCGATGTTTCCCTCTCTCTCTCTTCCTCTCTCTCCCTCCCACTCTGCCTGTACAAAAAATGGAAAAATGTCCTCGGATGAGGATTAAAAAAAAAAAAGAAAGAGAGGAAGGGAGAGAGAAACATCGATGAGAGAGAAAATCGACTGGCTGCCTCCTGCATGCCCCCCACTGGGGATCGGGCCCACAACCTGGGCATGTGCCCTGACCAGGAGTCAAACCGGCGACTTCTTGGTGCAGGGTCGACACTCAACCACTGAGCCACACTGGCTGGGAGAGTCTATTAATTTTCTATCGTTGTTTCTGAATCTGAGTTTCAAAACTTCTACATTTGCCAGAACTATCGCTAAAGATTTAGAAACAGAATTTCTTTGCCTATAAGGAGATCACAGTAAATATCAAACAGGATGCATGAGAATGTTGGAATATATATTTTTTAATCCTCCCCCAAGGATATTTTTTCCACTGATTTTCAGAGAGTAGAAGGAGGAGGAAAGGGAGAGAGTGAGAAATGTCAATGTGAGAGAGACACATTGATTGGTTGCCTCCTGCACGCACCCCGACCAGGGCAAGGGAGCAAACCTGCAACCCATGTATGTGCCCTTAACCAAAAATCAAACCCACAACACTTTGGTCCATGGGCCAGCACTTTAATCACTGAGCTACTAGCCAGGGCGGAACATTTTAGAAGTCATAGTAAATTCCATTGAACGTGATCGTCCTTCTTACACTAACTTTGTCCCTCCCATCTGCTTCTGGGTCAGTGTCTGATGTAGACAGTTATCTGCTGCATGAAAGCAGGAAGGCTACTACTTCTCAGGTGGCTGCCAATAGCATGTAGTCTCCGTTAGCTGTTCGACCTTCCCACTGATTAAAGCAGCTGTCTCGGAGTTATTCAGGAAGCACACGTGATTCTCCAGCCCTGCGATGCAGTCCTGCGCGAGCGGCCACTTCACGCTGCAGGGGAGTCCGCACAGAGGTGACGTGGCATCAAGACCAGTCTACCCACTCTCCCCTCACGGCCCACGTCTAACTCAGATCTTGCCTGAGTACCAGATGCGCTGGGTCAACTCTGAGATAAACCGCTCACCACTGCATCCAGGAACTCAATGCACCTCTTCAGGTCCTGTCTGGTGTCACAGAACTGACGGAATAGGAGTCTTCCTATCGGCTGCTTGTCACAAAGACTGCTATAGTCTTTTTCTGGGTGAAGAAAGGGGGTAATACAGCTGTTACAATTCAGATAGTGCTTTTTGTGAACCTTACTGTTTTCACTGATATACTAAAGGTCAAAAATAGTATCTGCAGTATTATTTTTTCTTAGACGACTGTTTTGTTTACTAATTTAGACTGGCCTATCATGAATAATGTTCACAATACCTAAGCAGAGCCAAAGGTAGCTGGAAGAATTGGTGAACAGGTGTGTGAGGCTGGCCTGGAAAAGTCCTGAGGGAGCCGGGCCCTCATGCTCACAGCAACTGGGGGGGGGGGGGGGGGGTTGGGGATGAGCTGCGAGGTTGTGAAATATGCCACAAGAATGTGCTCAATTAGATTTTTAAAAACTCTTTTCCATTTTGCTACCTTTCTATACATTCACAAGTTACAAATGTTGGTAATGTTTAGTGCTTTTTTACTGCTCTTGTTTTTTTCCTTTTATTTTCCGTGGACTAATATGTTGTATACCCCTTACCCCAAACACTGACACTGTTTTGAGAACAAGGCACTAACATTTGGTCAAAGTGTCAAGAGGGATATAAACAAATATGTTCAAAACAGGTTAAAACTTGAGCCAGAAAATCAGTTGCCCTTTTAGCAGTGACTTTGAACTTGAAATGAAAACAACTATGCTCGATACCCTTGCAATGGCTGTAAACGGAGCCATGAGAGAACATTCACAAAGAAGCAAGCCACACCGAGTCCCTGAGCGGCAGGGTGACCGGCGCCAGGTAACACAAGAAGCTAACCCCTCTGTTCCCGACCACTGAGCTGGCACACGGGTGTACAGGCATGGGGTAAACACCTGGGGCCTAGGGCACAACTGCTGTTTCTACAATCATCAGCAACCATGTTGGACTAGTTCTCGGATGCACTGTGTCCAATTTTGCTACATTTTACTTTAGAGATACTTACTAACTATATTTAAAAAAGATACAAAGTAGTTTAAAAAAAGGTGAGGTTTCTTAAATGTTGCAAATTTTTAGTACTTTCTTTCCAAATTCAAAGTTTAGAAATATTCCTAGTTTCCAGGCCAGGATAGCAGATAGAGCACACAGGTCTGTTTACCCTCTCTCCCAGATCCATACTGAAAATACCAAATAGTAATACAAAAACAGAACCACAACAAAAAGAATGAAATCTTAACATGGAAAAGAACACAAGGCCCCCTTAGGAGTCAGAAATGTGAGGATTACCTGGAAGGAAAAAAGCTACTAGAATAGAGTTCAAGGAACATCAGCTGTGACCCCAGAGATACGCTGTGGTTCCCATAAATCTAGATCACAGGAGCCCTTTCCAGGCCTGCTCAGGATGGCTGGCCAATGGGCTTTACAGAAAGTAGGTGTCAGCCATGAGAGATTCTGGGACTCCAGAAGGAGAGGCAGAGCCAGGCGGAGGGAAGTAAAATGCCCTGCTGGCAAAGTCAAGTAAGTCTGCTGGAATACCACTGGCACAGCACCAACCAGAACCCCATTCAAGGAGAGGAAGCCCAGGGACACACAGCTCTACCCCCGCAGAGGAAAGCCATCCCGGCCACTGAATGAACAAACGCAGCCCTCAGCATAAACGGGAATGAACTGAAAATCGTATTCAGTTACATCACTACTAAACAAGAATGCACAAAAAAGAGAGAGAAAGAGAGACATCGTCTAAAATTTAAGAACTCAGAAAATTTACCTTCCATTCACCCTATATAAAATATGAATTACTTGAGAAGCTATAATAATAAGAAATCAGGGACAAGATGGAAACCAAGAGATGAACAGTGGGTATCAGCTGGAGGAAGCAGAGAAAACTAGGAAGGAATAAGTAGCCCACCAAGATGTCTGGAAGACCACCCTTGGCAAAGTGTGAACAGTGCAGAATACTTCCTGTTCACAGCTCCATCCACTTACTTGCTGCTCGAGCACCCGAAATACACATAATTATAGTATTTACTCCTCTCTCAGACTTTAATTCTTAGAATAACTTATGGACCAAGATAATAGGATGTGAGGGACTGACCCAACAAACAGTTCAGAGGCTGAAGAGGGGGACGCAGAGGGAAGCAAATGTAGAGGCAAATGAACCTTTAACTTTTTTTTCAAAGCTGGGGTCAGATTTTCACAATGCCTGGTGCCTTGCAGAAGAGTTTCTCTGCCCTCGAAGGAAGAGATGACAGAGACTAGAGGCAGCAGTCCTCTGCCTCTCACTGGGTGCCAATACTATTTTAAGTCCTTTCTGTGTATCATTTCATGTTATCTTCATGACAGTACTTATGAGTCTGGCTCTGAGGAAGGCAGGGACCTTTGGGAGCTGCTCGACCCTGAAGCCACCTGCATCCTGCACCGCGGCGGTGGGGCAGAGGCTGGGCGGGGACCTGCCAGCAGGGAGAGCAGCTGAAGCCAGAACTAGCATGGCAGAGTGGAAAGGAAGAGGCCAGCTCTGGTGACAAATGAACATGGGAGGCAACTCATTCAAGTTCTGCCCCTCCTTGGTGGTAAGGAGCTCCCAGGAGCTCCAGGAGCTCCCCTCTCGGGACCTGTACCTTGCGGAGAGATCAGTGAGCAAAGAGGCAGCTCTGCGGCTGGTGGGTCAGCAGGTCAAAGGCAACGCCATCCATGGAGAGGAGAGGGGACTGGCACAGTCCCAGCTTGGGCAGGCACCACTGGGGAACTGACAGGACAGAAGGGGCTCCCGTGAGCAGAGGAAGGAGCTGCAGAGTTGAACTGGTGGGGTGGCAGACCACTCTTCCGTTCTCCTGTCTCCAGGGAGATCTTACCCACTGCCAGTCTGGGGACTTCTAGAGGCCATCGACAGATATGTCCCAGATTCCAATCTACAGCCCAGACTTTTCTGAGCTCTGAATGTACATGTTCCATCCAAACAGGCTCCTCACACTGTGAGCCCCCTCTCCAAATGAACAAGACCTGGAAGTCATCCTTAGTACCTCCCCCTTTCTTCCTTCCACACATAAATCAACTGAATTCTACTTGTTAAATATCTCTCAACATTCAATTCCATCACCCCTACCCACCCACCGAACTACCATCATCTCTTGCCTGCACAATGGCAAGTCTCCAATATGGCCTTCCTGTTCCCACTCTTTTTTTCTTTTAATCCTCACCAGAGGATATGTTATAATTGATTTTTTTTGAGAGAAAGGAAGGGGAGAAAGAGAGAGAAACATCAATGTGAGAGAAACATTGACAGGTTGTCTGCCACATGCACCGTGACAGGGGATTGAACCTGCAACCTTTTGGTGTACAGGGTGACGCTCCAACCAATTAAGCCACTGGCCAAGGCCCTGTCCCCACTCTTAACCCTCAATCATAATCTTCATACTGAAGCCTGGAGACCCATGGAAAACGTAAATCTGATTACATCATTCCTCTGCTGAAAATCTGACAATGTCAACCTTCATAACCAATAAGACAAAAACCTTCACCAGGCCCACAAACTCCGGCCCCTCTCCCGTCACCTCCCCAGTGTCACTCTTGTCCTTTGTCTGCACTCTAGGAATGCTGGCATTTCTTAAGTCCCTGGAAATTGCCATGCTCCCTCCCACTTTGGGGCCCTTGTGCCTACCCAGCTGGACTTCTTCAAAATAAAAACTTGTGTTCCTCAAAGGACATCATTGAGAAAGTGAAAGAAAAACAAAGAATGGGAAAACAATATTTGGAAATCAAATATCTGATAAGGGTCTAGTAACCAGAAAACATAAAGAATGCTTACATTTCAACAATGAAAAGAAAAACAATCCAACTTAAAAAATGGGCAAAGAATTTGAACAGATACTTCTCCGAGAAAATATTACACAAATGGCCAGTAAGTACATGAAAAGATGCTCAACATCATTAGTCTTGGGAAATAACAAAACAAAACACAGTGAGAGCCCGGCCAGTGTGGCTCAGTGGCTGAGCATCAGCCCATGCACCAAGAGGTTGCCAGTTCGATACTCAGTCAAGGCACATGCCCAGGTTGTGGGCCAAATCCCCAGGGGGAGGCATGCAGGAGGCGGCCAATTGATGTTCTCTCTCATCAATGTTTCTATCTCTCTCTCCCTCTCACTTTCTCTCTCTCTAAAATCAATTCAGAAAAAAACAAACAAAACACAATGAGATACCACTTCACATCCACTAGGACGGCCATAGTAACAACAAAAAGGAAAATAAAAAATGTTGGTAAGGATGTCAGGAAATTGGAATCCTCATGCACCACTGGTGGGAATGGAAACTGGTATAACCACTTTGGAAAACATTTTGGCACTTCCTCAAAAGTCAAACACAGAACCACCGTATTATTCAGCAGTTCTACTTCTGGGCATATACAAGAGAGAAATGGGAAGCAGGGACTCCTACACATACTTGTCCACCAATGTTCCCAGCACATTGCTCACCACAGCCCAAAGGTGGAACCCAGAGGTCCAACAGATGAATGAACAAATTTCAAATTAACATACAATTAATGCCACTGAATTTTACACTTAAAAAATGGTAAATTTTATGTATATTTACCACAATAAAAAACTTGTGCATGAATGTTCATAGCAGTATTAGTCATAATAGACAAATAAAAGAATTAAATGTCTATCAAATTAAATGTCTGATGACTAAGCAAAATGCACTATATCCTTGCAATGGACTATCATTTGCCAACAAAAGTGAATTAAGTAACTTGCAAGATCCAGAAAAGGCAAATCCAAAGAGAGAGCAGATTAGTGGTTGCCTAGGGCTGAAGCACAGGAGAGAGAATGGGGAGGGACTGCCAAAGGATACGTGACTTATTTTTGAGGTGATGAAGATGTAAAACTGATTGTAGTAATGCTTGTACAATTCCATGACTATATTAAAAACCACTGAATTGTACATTTTAAATAGGTAAACTGTATGGCATGTTAACTATATCTCAATAAGGCTGTTATTTTGCCAAAACACCAACCAGAAAGAATATATGCACACTTATGTTCAGAGCCTCGTTATTTACAATAGCCAAGATCTGGAAATAGT